TTTTTGCAAACATTCAAAGCATTTAACACATGCAGACAGTGACACACACAGCAGTCATGGAGAAAAACTTCCAAAACTAAAAGATTTTTATAACTCACTCACATTGACGGGAAATGCGTATAATGTGTTCCTGAAGATGCAAGTTTGAATTTAATTAATTTATTTATTATTATTATTATTATTATTTTATTTTATTTTATTTTATTTATTTATTTATTTGTGGATGGTGTTGATAACTAAATGAAGTAATAATGGACCAACGAAATTAGTTTCTGAAATAATTTTAAGGCTATCTTTCAGTATCACGCCTTTAACTTTGTTGCAGGATGGGGAGATTCAATCAACTGGATGCCATTTGAAGAAGGTCTTAAAGCTAGTGCAGAAACGTAAGATATTTTAATACATGATGATGAGTTAGTGACATATGTCACTATATGCCTGTGCATTATTTCTTTGTATAAACCAGCATGCCACATTTAGAGTAATAACTGGTTGGAAAAAAAATCGGTTGGGCTAAGGTTAGGCTGCTGTTTTATATCATTAATGCCATAATCCAAAAATGAAAAAAAAAAAAAAAATCAATAATAGTATTGTTTTAGGCTACCAGTTTTGCTTTGGGGGGTTATAAAAAGTAACATATGACATATATAACTGTAATGATGATATATTTATATTCCTACTGCCAGAATTATAAATGCTAATGAAAGACAAGTTTCCACATCTCTAAAGTAAAAAATGCATGACTTATATAATGATGAAATTTAAAACTGTTATTTACATCTGGGCCCAGAGACCTTCACAAAACAAGCATGGGGGGAATAAAAAATAAATTAACACTATTCTTCACTATCATTTTTCTTTCTAGGAGTAAACCTTTGATGCTGGTTATCCATAAGTCATGGTGTGGTGCTTGTAAAGGTACTTTGATTTAAAAATGGATTTAAACAAGAATATTATTGAATTCAATCATGGCATTAAAAAGAAAAATCTCTGAAGTGAAAAAGTGTTATCTAATTTTTCAGGATTATGACAGTGTTTGTATATCTGCTGTGTAATTTTTTTTAAATTTGAAAAGAGTTTTATAGTATTTACATGTGTAAAGAAATAGAAAAATTAACACAGTTTTGTTCTATTTGTATATAGCACTGAAGCCTAATTTTGCTAAGGATAAAGGAATAGCTGAGCTTGGGACCAAGTTCATTATGGTGAATGTAGAGGTGGGTTGATGAACTTTTTTTTTTATTATATTAGATAAAGTTTTTCTCTTGGTTAAAAATGGATTATTTCATGTGATAACCTATGACTATTTTTATCCCCCTTCCTCTTTTGAAAGTTAAGTATCATATAAAATATAGCTTTTCTGATAAAAATTATCATTTGAGTTTTCGGAGATAATGGTTTTGTTTTTCATTCAGGATGACGAGGAGCCGGGGGATCAAAAGTATGCTCCTGATGGTGGTTATATACCAAGGATATTATTTTTAAGTAAGTTTTGAGAAAATCAAATAGATTTTTAATATTTATGTATATGTACAGTAATGGTTTGATTTTTTCAATGGGGAAAAATGATCAACTTTTCAGATACATATGCAATGGCCATGCATATTTTACCCGTTCCTTGGAAGATTGTAATCATAATTCTATGGGCATATCAACCTAAGAATATATTTTATATAATTTCAACTTCATGTATATTCTCTCAATGGTCTGCGGTACTACATAATTCAGTTAGCATTTTATGTGTTTGAATTTTTATAAACTTACAAAATTGCACTTGATTGCCCCCTTTTTCTCAGTTTTTGTAGTTTTACTTTTTCAGATAGCAAAGGGGATGTCCAGCAAGATCTGATAAATGAGAATGGCAATGCTAATTATAAATATTACTACCCACAGACAGCTGATAGTGAGTATAGCCATTCTGCCTTGTCTCTTTATTCATGAACTTGTCAATCCAATTAACTTAGAAAAGAGTGAGTTCAGATCACCTAATTTGGATAATGTGATTATGATCAAAAAACGTTTTATTATTATTATTATTATTATTATTATTATTATTATTATTATTATTATTATATATTTTTTGTGTAACTCTGTTTACAGTTGTATTATCAATGAAGAAAGCTCTAGAAACTATAAAACCAGCACCACCACCCAAACCAGATGAACTGTAGACACAAGGATTTTAGGAACTTGTAGAATTTTACAGCAACTGGAAACAGAAACTGAAGCATTCATGATTCCCCATGATGAATATCTTAATGTAAACTGTACAAGCTCTGTTTGATAATATGTGAAGAGAACTAGTCAATGGAAGATTATATTTGATAGTGAATTTTTAGCTCATCAGGAAGTGCTGAATTACAGCAGGTCATATTCATTATCTTTTTTAACCGTCATTGCTCATAGCATATTTTTAAAACATTTTAATACAATAAACCCTTTTATGTCAAGAAAGGATAACATTACTGACATTTTTCAGATATATATGTTGTTTTTTCATGCTGTTGTGCCAATTCTTGCTTCAGTTATGAAATTTTAAGCTTCCTGTTTAATGAGATCCATTACTGAGTGTCATGCTGCCACAGTTAAATCTTTCAAGATCTTTAGGATATTGTCACCCTTCATTCAAAACTCCTTATTTACTGCCTTACATACATTCTTTTTGGTAACAAATGAATCTTCAGTGTATGGTGACTAAATTAATGAACATTTACACATATGTCATCTTATGGGTGACATCATAATTGCAATTTTGGGGCAAAAACTGAAAAATTGGTTTCTCAAATTTCTCTTTTACCTGAGTACCCATGATCACCATGCATTATTGAATCATTAGACTCAGAAAAAAAGCCATTTTCAGCATCTGGATGATAATAAAGGGTTACAGTATCCATACAATACAAAATCCAAAAGATCTATCACTAGTGGGCTTGATTTGGTCTTAAAGTGCAATTTAAGAACACAAATAGTCTTACATGATCTTAAAACATGAGTAAGACTATTTCTGGACTAACAGCCAATTAAGTTGTCTCCCCTTACACCTTCTCCTATTGTGAGCAGAGGTGTCCTCTATTGTGAGGGGAGGTATCCCCCATTGTGAGGGGAGGAAACTGCTTGACCACTTAAGTAGATGTTAGATCATTTTTGATCTTAAAAGCAGATTCAGTCCATTTTAAGACTACTGCTGTAATGTTTAAGATCGTGTAAGATCACTTGTGAACTTAAATTGCACTTTAAGACCAAATCCAGCCCACTAGTGTATATGTAGTAAATGATGATGTTCTCAATTATATGATGGGGATACTGCAGGCTACATTAGAATTATATTAAGCACATTCATTTGATAGATAGAAACTATGTTTGATGTGTTTTTTTATTTTCAAAACCAATTTAGATGAAGTGGCAAATGTATAATGTGTTATGAGCTTTAGTAATACAGCATGCATTTCTCTATAAAGTCCTGTTATTGGCAATAACCTGCTTCCTTAGTTTTAGTGTATTGTTGATATGATTTTTTTGTAAATAGAAGCAACTAGGTGAAACCAAGAACATCCCTTTCCTGACCTACAACCTTTTAGTATTAGTTGATAGTATAATTTATAATGGAGTAAGACCAATCATTAAAATCTTCTTTCATATTTTAAACTCTAACTGTTGCAAAAATACAATAAAATCTCACTTGCGCCTTGTTTGAAGTGAAGTTATTCATCTCCATTAAATTTTCTCTGCACCTATCAGTGTAAAAAAGGGTGGAAATGTTTTATGCTTCATTTGTATAACTTTATTTGCCCAAGTTCTTGTTGGATATAATTAATTTATGGTATGGTAGCAAGAGGTGACTTTTACAAGGTGAAGCAGATTAATAAGATTACCATTCTTCAAATAATTTCTTGTATCTCTTACACATGCTTTCATTGTTCTCATTCCTGGGGTAAATATTTTACTTTGATTTAACACAAAGTCCATTGTCTTTTAGCTTGGATGTGATTTTTATACCTCTGCCTTGTCCATGAAGTATTTGAACATATTTTTATGTAAATATGTAAAATACCACTGTAAATTGATGAATTATCTCTGAATTGAACAATCAAGACTGTTTAGCCTAAGCAATGAATTCAGCTATCAACCTAAATTATTTATATATTTTACACCTACTTTAGATGAATTAGAAATACATGTTGAACAAAAATGGCAATAAAGAACTTTCATAAAAAATGTCTGTTGTTGGTTGTCAATAGATCATTTGTCTTCTTAGATAAAACAGTAATTAAACTTTTGTTCCAAATTTAGACTTTGTTGCACCCCAAGAGTTTTCTATAAAACTTTCTCAGTACACATATCTCGATCTTTTGTGGTTACAGCTACACTGTGACACTGCTGCAACATCTTGGATGTTATCATCACAACTGAAACTGTCATTACAGGAGCCAGTCCTGTGTGAGATTGTATCTTTAAATTTCCAAAATAGATCCAAACCACCTTATTTCCTCTAGCCCCCTATGGTAAGTTAGGGAGGCGGTTACGAGTCCAGTCATTTCTTAAAACACCTTGGCATGTTGATATGAATGCTTGATGTTCTACTAGTTTGTTTTACAAAATTAAGAAGTGAAATGAGAATGTGCTTGACACATTTCAGTGAATGATAATATGTCTTTCACACAACCTTCACTTTTTCCATTCTTCCGTCACAGAGTGATACAGGTATAAGACTGTCTTAAATTTACTAATGATTGAGTGATTGTTCTTCAAAATTTTGATTTTGAGACTCGAGTGCTGCTTTAAGCAAGAAGCAAATGTAACCCTACACCAAAGTGTGCAGGGGCAGATCAGAGCTATTTTCTGACCATCTTCCAAATTTTCTTTGTTGATCCATCCTCTACTTTTGATCGTCTTCTGACAGAAAAAATTAGATACCCGTCAATGTAAACTTGAAAATCTGACCGTCTTACAGAAGACCCAGAAGACGGCCTCAATCTGCCCCTGGTGTGGACATATGAGACTAGTGCATTTTGAGAGAAGATGGTGCTGAATGCTTCGTTCCTTCAAGATACAATTTTATAATATGAACAGTCAAAGTCAAATGTCCTCAACCATTGTGTTTGAAAATGAATAACAACTAGTGATCAAAACAATATTTACAATGTTATGTAACTAATTTATTTCTTGATTTAACATCCAGACAATTTATATGTGTATACATAATACATCCATAAACATAATACATGATTATACTTCTTTTATGCTCCCATCTACATACTAACAATTTAGAAATCATATAACAGTTTGGCAACAATGGAGGCTTTACAATGCTGACATTACATCCACATTATAGGTATATACCAGTAAGCAGCTACCTACATATACTTATAACTTCAAATTCTTATCTATGGCTCTTAATGTAAAAATCTGTACTACCCAGTCTTCAAATAAACAACCACCACTCCCGAACTTTGCCATTTAACATAATATGAAAGAAATAATAGAAATTGCTGCTCAAGTGCAGTTCATCTGGTAATGAATACTGTATGATTTTGCTATGGATTGTGTGTCATGACAAAGTGACCTGTACACAAAAGTGCCTACCAGAACCCAGAAAGTAATAAACATCTCAGCAAAGTATAGTGCAAGCATATTGTATAACAAACCATTTGTTTTCAATCCAAAATGTAAGCAGTTATACACACTGTGAGAGTTGCACTATCCAATCCTTGGATATCTGTAAGCTGCTAGTGATAACTTGTGCCCAAAGGTGCTACACGAACACAACAGTGACAACACTTTGAGCAATGTTATACAATACGTGGAATGCTTCACTGCCAGCATAAAAATGTAGAGTTCATAAGAAAAAGTTTAACATTCACACAACCCATTTTTTAAATCAACAAAACAAAGTATCACTATTAGGGCTATAATTCCTTTCAACTTCATACCCAAGATGATATTTCCACATTGTTCTTGACTCTCAGTAAATCAAGAGATCGAAATTTGTTTTTACGAAATTTTGCATCATGAGGGCACAAAAGCAAGGAACTACATCCTTTCAATTTTTCAGTAATCATCACTGTAGAAATATGCCAATGTATATAATGTGGTATAAAGACTAGCACAGAATCTTTGTGTTTACAAAAACTGATTTTACAAACCTGCTGACTAGTTATATGCTGATTAATCAACAAATCCTTTTCCTTAAAGACAGTATGATTTAAAGAACAAAAAACGTGTATAGTAAATGAGAACAAAAACAGGTTGTTGGTTTCAACTCTCTAGGACCAGTCACCAAAACTGAAATTAACATGCCATTTCAAGCAAGGTATCTGACTTCAGACAACTTGAATAGATAATAATAGATATTATGCTTGCCCCTGGTAGATCTACTAAATCAGCTAAGAGAAATGAAGTCACTCTTGATTTGAAATTACAGGTGAAAATGAGCTCCTGTCATTGCAGACATTTCCTTACAAATAAAAAGAAGTCAGCTTTTCATAAAAGGTTGACTTAAATTTTCTATCTTCAATTGTTCACCTTTACAGTGAAACTAAAGGGTCTATATACATAAGTCTTTCGTGATACAGATATAAGGATATCATAATTTCCCATCTTATATGCCAACTTCAACTTATATATGCCCTAATAAGTACCTATTCTTTTCATTTACATTAAATAACACTATAAAATTAATATCATATAAACCAACATGTGCCACAGAAACATTTCTTACAGCACAGGCATTTTACTTAAAAAAGTCAGTGCCCACTGTTGCAGATATAACTGGTTGTAATGTCTGCGTGCTTGCCTTAATACTCAAAGTATGATGGACAATTACACTAACAAGCAAATAAAAAACACTGCTCATGCAATATAAGTGTTATTTTTTCTTCTGAAATCATTCCCCAACAAATGGCTTCCCGATCTTCCCTAGTTCAAGATCCTTGAATATTTATTCAGTGCATCAATTCCTGCAGTAAAATGTGCTTGCATCAAAGTACAGTACACTATACAAATCACCATGCCAGATATATGAAAAATAACACAGCATCTCTCCATAAACATGATTTAAAAGAGCGGTCTCAGTCAAGGAACATGACACCTTTCTAAAATATCCATACAGATGATGAGCACCAGGATACGTCTCTGACAAACTGAGACACTGCAAGCTGAGTGTGGTTTTTATCTCCAAGTTGCTTGTTGCAAAGTTTCACAATCAATGACATAGACGTTCAGTCATCTCTTTCTGGAAGCACAAAAAGACACCATTGGTAAATCACTGACAAACAATAGCAATGCCAATTTCCCAATTAGAAAGATATTTTGTGTATGAAAATGTAGGTATTTCTTTCTATGGGGATTAATGGTTTCAGAAAAGCAATTTACATGTATAATATTGTGGCATCATACTTTTGCACAAAAAGTTTGAAATAATGTATATGCCAATCAATTCATGTTTAAAGGATTCAATATATGATGCAATAAATTAGACAATTATTAACAAACACATCTAGTAAATAAAGAGTAACACAGTTAACACATCTGATCCACCTCACTAATACACCTACATTCAATTTCATGTAAAAAGGGCAGATTTAGGAAGTGGGGGAGGGGGTCATATTTCATGTTGATCAGTCCGTGAAACAACAGACTATACTCACAAGTGGTTCTAACTCCTTTTTCTCCACCAGGTTGTATTCAGTAACAAAGTAGTAGAAGTGTTTGTAGCAAGTGTTCACATGAGCTTCCTGTGACAAAGAAAGAGAATTATTAGGTAAAGATTCAAAGATGAATTGTAAATACAAATGCTGACCTTATGATAATTGCAGTTCAACATGTTACCAGATGCTTTTTTTTTGCACTGCATAATTCATGGCTTATACCAACAGGATTCGCACATTATTTCCAATTGAAATTGTTACATCTTAGGCAAATATCTGTACTTACTGCACCAATGGCCAATAGTTTGTCAAAGTGGTGAATGTAAACATGGACAAATACTCGAAAAAGTCTGGTCAGCATCTTCTTACAGACCGACATGTAATTTTTAGGAAATGAAGTACCTATAAAAAATTGGGTATATCTTAATCAGGATAGCAATATTATATGAGATAATTTCTATGAATCATACCTAATGAAGAAGAAACATAAGAAAGTTAATACTGTAAATTATAAAATTAATGGCATTTAAAAATAAACATATATACATATTTTGAAAAAGAAGCATTATAATAACTGGAGGAAATGTATTGTGCTACAATGAAAAGGAGACATTAACTGGATCATTGCCTGTCTCACCTACCACAATTGGCATTATCCTTTTATACTTAACAAAGATAGTTATAGCCCTCTTTTGCTATTTTATAATGTTTGAGCAGCACACTCACCAACTTTGACCGGGAATATGTTTTCATTGTTAATCTGTGCCTCTACCCAGTCCATAAGTAAGGCTATATAGACAGGGGCTGGTAGGGCTGTGGGCTTCTTGTATTGTGAACCATCACACCAGTGGTACTCATATCTGAAAAATGTAAGACATGCTCTTATATAAATCAGGGGCGGATTCAGGCCGTCTTCTGGGTCTTCCAGAAGATGGTCAGATTTTCAAGTTTCCATTGACAGGTATATAATTTTTTTCTGTCGGAAGACGGTCAAAAATGGAGGATGGATCAACAAAGATAATTTGGAAGACTCTCAGGAAATATCTCTGGATCCGCTCCTGTAAATATCCGATCTAGGAAAAAACAGTGAACAAAGACAAAATATTCCTCCCCTTAATAGCTGTTTCATGTTTTTCTCAAGATGACAAATATCAATTTCATAGCTGCAGCTAACCCAGTCACCAAACAAGCCAAAGTAATGATAAATCATGACATTATGCACCAAACCTTAACATGTATATATGTTGAAGTAAAGTATATTATGAAATAATCCCTCAAGTATGGTTTTTTTCATATCAACATAAATAACTATATGCAGAAATATATGCAAACATACATACACATAAATTTATATATAACTGATGATTTATCTTTGTCACAATTTCAATATAAAAATGTAACCAATTTAATATCGATCTATAAGGCAAGAATAAAGGCTTATGTAATTGGAACATCTAAGTTATTGACTATTTAAAAGCATGGATTCCCTTTTGAATTTCAGTGCACTCAGGTCAAATCAATGCTATGAGCAACAAAACAAAAGAAAACAAGCAGCTTTAATATGTACAAAAACTCCAACATATTATCATTTTATTATGCATGTGTTCACGCAAGCCTGTCAGATGGCCACAAGAATCCATATTTCATTCTACCAAACAAGGCCATAACGTGACTACTCCTATAAGCACATTAGCAATACAATAGCAGCCCAGTATATTCTTTATATATAATTTAATTAAGTAAAATATTTGGATATATTAAATATTTAAAAATACACTGCTCGTATTTCTCTCTCTCACCCTCTCTCTCTCTCTCTCTCTCTCTCTCTCTCTCTCTCTCTCTCTCTCTCTCTCTCTCTCTCTCTATATATATATATATATATATATATATATGGATGTGTTTCTATCAATCACAAGGTCAACCATATTAAATATTGTCAACCATATTAAAATCTACCCTTTGAATCACAACCAAAAAGAAAACAAGGTTGTTTTGACAAGGAAGAAGAATTTCAAGAAAAACAAGTCATGACACTTGACTAGCTCTAACAGAGAAAAAAAAAACATGAAAGAAAAAGAAGAAAACTTTTCACACTAGATTTTCTAACTTAAGACAAGAATCCAATCCATATTGAAACTAAATTCACTATTAAGTTTCATAAACCAATGCTAATTTGAGGGTAACTTCTATATGAAAAGTATATGAAGTTACAATTTATGTGCACAGATATTGATGTTTATATTATAAATTTGGCCATGGACCATAAAGGATATTCAAAGGATAAATGCCTTTAAGAAAACCTTTTGTCACCGGAATTAAATTCAATTTAACATTTGAATCCAGATCATGGTTTTCTTACATAACAATCTCCAGCAGATTCAAGGCTCATAAGTAAATTCAATGGGATTATTTCTTGATGTACATATGTCAACATTTATGTTAATGTAGTGTTAATAGCCATTTTCTACAAAAAAAATTTAACAAATGACTCAAACCGCCAAATGTGCTAGATTACAAGTGCTTGGTCCTATAATATGTTAGATACAAGACACAAGACCAAATTTGCATATAGCATGACACCACAGCCTCTGCATAAAATGATCATCATTATTGATGCTCAAGCTAGTGTGTGTTTGTCTAATCTGTGAGTGTCATCTCAATTTATCAGTCTACACAGGTGAGACATGGGAGCATGCAAAGCTGGCTAAATGACAGCCCTGCACAGACACTGGACTGGTATCCACATGCTATATAGCTACTTCTCAATGTGGCTTTTTAGTTCCACTATCACATGATAGTTGGAAAGGTCACAGTAATTTGCCAACCCAGCATGCAGAACATGATAGCTTTTTTTTTTTTTTTTTTTGAAGACATATGCAAACCAACAATGGGCAGTGGAAATAGAGACAAGGGCTGCCAAATAGGCCTGGCTTTAAGAAAATGAAAAACCAGAGATGACTAATTCAATCTTTCATCCAACATTTATATCATTTTATATTTTGATGAGTTCAGAGTATATAAATAGAACCTTTTCGATTAGGAAATACACCACACACACAGTGATAAAAAAATGCAATTAGTAAGAAACCCACGAGGTATGGTTAGTCTGAGATTCAGTGTTTGGAATAAAGACAATCAGGTCTTTAATCAAATATACAACTAGCTTATCCAAGTACAAATCCAATCATTGAAGCATGTACTTTTTGACCAACAGGAGCATGTTAATTGGTTAACAACAGACATTATTTGGATGAAATCAATTGATTGGGCAGACAAACTTGAATCAACTTTTTACCTCCATCAAGGAGGTTACTAAGTATGTTTTCACCTTCATTTGTCAGTTTGCTAATCTGTTTGTTTGGCACCAGCCTAACTCGAAAAGTTAGGGATAGATTAATTGATGAATTTTTCAGGATAGGTCACAAATGGGCTAACTTAAAAGTGTTTAAATTTTGGTGATGACCCACTGGTTAATTCAGGCCCGTAGCCAGGGGGGGTTCGGGGGGTTCGAAAGTACTGCCCCTTTTGCTGGGAAAAGGTCCACTCTGGGTGAAATTTGACCTAGGTACATGACGTTTTTATGGAAAAAAGGTCTACTTTTTCAGAAAAAGAACCCCCCTTTTGAAATTGCTGGCTACGGCCCTGTAATTAATGGTTAATCATAAGTATTACATGTCTTGGTGGAGGTCTGCGCTCTATTTTTCTAATATTATATATGCAATGTTATATATTACAGTGAATATACACTTTCAGATCTGATTAAGAAAATTGCTGAAAGCTGCACTGATATTTGTGATGTCTTTTTAAGTTTAAAGTATTGTATTTTTAAATGATGTAAGTAGAAGGTATTTTGTGTACATAGTATGTACATCAAATATAAGAAAATAATGTGCAGTTTTCCTTTTGATATTTTTACCTGAAGTTTCAATACAAACAGTACAAAGAAATCCAAAGTTTCAATGTTCAAAGTAAAACATGCACATATGTTTGATTGTAAACAATACATGACTCATTTTTCAAAACTCTTATAGAGAAACTGGATAAGCAATTAAAAGGAAAAGAGCATTTGACAAACTACAACTGTTTAAATTTAGTCACCTTCCTAGTAATTTCCTCTCTTACTAATCAGATTATTGACTTAACTGACAGAGCCAGACTTTTCCTTTTTATGTGATCAACATGGAAAAGGTTACACATTGCCTCTATAAAATACATCATTTTATCACATTTTAATCTTTTCAAAATGTTCATCTACAAACCTTACTCTACTTGATGCTCACAAAAAAACTGAAAGTGACTTACTTGGGTCCCCCAGACATGGTAGGGCAGCTCTGTTCTGTACAAAACTCGCATACTGTCCCATAAATCAAGTTAATTCTATTGAAGAAATCCACCACTGGAAAAGGAAATGAAAATATGCTAAGGTATCATGATAACAAAAACTCATGAACTGCTCTGAACTTGAGATAACAGTGGACCCTTGAATTACACGCACCTGTCAGTTATATTGACTAATGGCCAAAAAGAAAAAAAAATTCACTTTTTTTGATTGCTTCAGTAGAAATGCAGCTTAGTGCCATTTGTTATTGTCTGTTAAGGTTAGTTATCCAGTCTAACAAATTGAAGTTGTTTTTCAAAACAAGAACTTGGTTGGCTTCAATCCAAGGGATAAAAACCCTGCCATTATACAAAAAAATAGTCCATATTGATCTCTAAACTTGAAGTCAAAGGTAAACATATAGTTTATATTTATCAGTGAATCAATACTCAAGTTAAAATCAGTTTTTTTTGTCTTTCACCCCCAACACATCACATGCTCGCCCCTTTTCCTACCCTCTACCAGGGCCACAGATAGATTTTTTCCTACATATTCAAAGATATATCTCTAGCTAATTCATGACAATTTTCAGTGCTGTCACAGTGAATATCTAGTGAAAAATCAATCTGTGGCCCCAGTTCAGGGTACCCCTTTCTTCGGATGACCATTTACATGTATTCACTTACCATGCACAGCTATCCAGTCATTGAGATCTTCATCAGGTGGAAGTTTGACCACATGTTTTAAGTCTATTCCTGCATGTAGAGAGGCATTTGCATGCTTGTGGAGGTTGTAACGGAGGGTGCCAGGTTCAAATTTTTTCTTTGGTTTGAATGTCTAAAATACAAACAGAATTAAAACAATAAATAGTATGAAATCCAACATGTAACAATTCTAGAACAAGTGATGTTTTATGTTAACATTAATGTCAGGACTTACTCTTCTCAGATTTACAGTATAAATTGGTCTTTGCTGCAACTTTATTGATCGAACAACTGTCACCCATACAGATTACATATGCTTGCAGACAGAATCATATTTTAACATGGGATATTTGAAAATATTGTACACTTGTACTAGTATACTACAATGACAAAAAATTTCAATTCTTTTACTGAACCTGTTGGATATTTTGCTAGATTCTAAGTGTATCAATACCCCCCATATCTTAAAATTTTCAGATTTTTCAACTTCTTGCAATTATCAGAACTGACTTTCAAATTATAAACCCATAACATACACAGTTACTGATATAGTTGGTGCTACTTGTTTACCCAGATTCCTCAACCAATGACTTAACCCAAAAGCAGCTTAGAAAACCACAGGCACTTCACTATTGTTTACACACAACTTTATGTACACAGTTATGGGTAGCAATCATTCACATCTCAGTGCAAATTTACTATGATCTAGGACCAAGTTATGATGTGTAAACCTACACTTAAACTCTGTGTTACATGCCATGTGACACAGAGTTTAAGTGTATGCCATCTGAAAGGAGGTTGGACATTTTCAAAAATATTTTTTTCAAGGAGTGTCTCAATCCACTGAACCCTATATAATGCATCATGTTTAGAGGCACATTAAGACTAGGTTCCCATACCTAGATTGATCCACCTGGATCGGTCTAACTCCCTGGGGAGTCTCACTAAATTCCTATCAACTTGCTGGCTTAAATGTCTGTCAAGCCTTACTAGGCATGACAGATATTTAAGCTGGTTAAGTTGATAGAAATTTAGTGAGATTCCCCAGGGAGATAAATAGATCCAAATATCTGTGGGAATGGTCCCTTACATTTAAACAATGTAATTTCTTCTTAGTAAGACCCATAGCGACCAGTCTTTTGACTGAGATTAGCTTCCCGCAGGTCAACCCCCCCCCCCCTCCACCACCATTTTCTTGTTTTTGGGGCCACTCTGAAAGATCAGAGAAATTATATTTGTAGCCTTTAGTGAGCCCAGTCAAATCAGAAAGCTGTGCAAAAATATATTGCTTGGGACGGTTGACCGAACTTGACTGTAAACAAACAGTGAGTTTGGCACAACAGAGTCATGTCTCTAGCCTTCTCACTACTGCAACCAATCCTTGGGGTGTATAATAAATGAGTCAAATCACAATCCCTGTGTCCTACCCAAAAGGTCCTGATAATTGATGATTCATCCTGACGAGACCTGGGCAGGCATATGCATAAGCAATCTTTTTATCAGGAAATTTGTTGGTTATTAGTTTGCTTGTAAAACTCAAGACACAGCATTATTTCGAATTCATAATTTGAACAAGAAATCAAAGCTATCCTTTATACTATTGCAGTTTTAAATTTTAACCTGTTTACCTTTAATATAATTATAAGTATGCAAGCCTTATCAAAGTGGATACAAGGTTATAACTACTTTGTGAACAAAAGATAATAAACCAGGATAAAAAGCTGAGTCAAACATTATTGACATGTCCATGTCCTGTTTGGCAAACATTCAATCAGTGGCCTATATAATACAAATGTAAACTATTTCAGTTTTATCTTCTTCAGGGTGAGAAATTGAAACCCAAGAATATGTATTATTTTTTATATAAATATAAAAATTATAAAAGTGGACAAAGAACCAAATGGTATTTAAAGAGACTTCTTGACACAAATGACAACTTGATGTATGACTTGCTATCTGGTGGAGCAGTAGGGATTTGGGGGGGGGGGGGGGGGGGCGACAAACTTTTCAGAATGGCCGGACATTTGGACCGGCAGTAATGAAAAATTTGCCAGACCAAATGGAATTTTTGTTGGACCGAAAATCACTCTGTTCGTTTGAGACAGATACTACCAGTATGATTAGGGTAACTTACTTTGTTTGTGAATGTGATAGTTTTGAAATGGAAGGGAAAAAATGCTTTGGGTTTTATATAATTTTATTAGTGAAGTATGTTGAAAGACGACTGTAAATTCAAAAATGCAGTTCTTAAAACTCTTGTCGGTCCTTTGCACCGACCAAGTCAAATTTTCTACCGGTCCAGACAAAATTTCCTGGTCATGACTGATCGGACTGACAGCATGTCTTGGGTGGAGGGGGGGGAGGGATCTGCCCTGTCTGTCCTTGTCATAACCACAAGACAGAACCACTGGGTACAAAATCAAAAATGAACCTATTGCAATAAATAAACCTATATAGTTCATTATGGTGTACTGCACAATATCTTTTCATCTCAGCACATATCTGCATTATGGAAATTTAACATTAATGCCTACATTGTTCATACACCATGCCTTCCACAAAGATATAGTTATATTACTGTGGTGACAACAAGGCTGCAAACTAGGTGCATTGTTCATATGTTATCTTTAATTTCTGGGGTCTGTTGTATAATTCAGATGATAACAGCTAGGAGAGCAGTATGTATGTATATCCAGGCCCTTGTCATCATATAAAAATTACTGACTGATACCAAATTGTCAGTGGTAATGCATTCTTTGCCTACATAATTATAATATTTTGTTCAAAGAGCATCTAACCAAACTGATGGATGATGAACTCTATAGCAAGCACTAAGAGGCAACTTTCCAAATCAAAGAAGCTGATACACTCTTGATAATTGAACTTGATTGTATATGAGCAGTCAGCAATGTCATGACAAATAAACAGTATAATCAAGGCTTTGAAATTCCCTAATCCATATCTCAACATTTCATAAATCCTGGAACTCTCCATAAGCTTAAGTTGGTAATCCATGTGAGTGTTGAAAGGTAACATGAGGACAGTCACCTCACCAGGAGACAAACTTCCCATACATATAAATTGGCCCACGGATTAGAAAAAAAAGAAGTACAGTATAGGTTCAACAAAAACTTCAATTCTTCAGCATTGAACTGAAAATTCAGTCTGAAATTCTTAAAGCTAGATACTATCATTCTTATGATAAATGTCATCCCACTTTTTAAGTATTTGACTTAAAATTTCTTAACACAAGTGCATTTTTCTTAAAACATTCTGAAACAAAAAGTAAAATACAAAGACTCATAAAATAATACCAAAACATTAACTTCCTCATCATCTAACAATGTCATCAACATCTAATTAACAGGGAAGCTATATGAAACGCACTTAACTATGGATAACAGATGTTTACATTTCAACAGATAAATGCCTTGATATTGTAGTATCACATAAATTATAGTACAGAAAGTGAAAGAATTAAAAAAGGTTGACTGATGCATTTTTACCAGATTATGAATAAAAAATAAACATTAAACTCAAACTTAACATGCTAGTCTCAACCATTCAGTAAAGGCTTTCGTCACATATGCAAGGATATAAACTGTGGTCAACTGTCCAAGATGCTTTAGTAACTCTTCATGAAGTGACCATTTAGTGAGGCTAAAACTACCCAAATGCACCAAATCAACGACACTAATCCAAAGACACGTGCCAGTTGGAATGACTAAATACCCATTCAGGATGGTCAAGACCCACTGAGCAAAAACAAACCTTGTCCCTTTGAAAGAATGAAGCAAGATTCATCGCCATTTTAGATTGGTGTCTAGGCTCTCCCATTGTCCATGATATAATCGAATTATAATCCTTGGGATAAAACTCTTAATTCTATGTGAGAATCGTGTTCAACGTTTTGATAAAATTCGCTTGACAACTTCCTTGGTGCCCAGTCTCACTCCAGCTTGTCACTGAACTAAAGCGGAAGTAATGCGAGACTTTGCGAGATTAGCAGACGCGTATTATTCGTAAACAGTGCGTGGCAAAAGTAAAGATAAATTTTGACTTAAAAGGGTAAATAACAAAACATTTATCTGATTGCTACACATCTAACATATATGTCCATCCATTGCAAATTATTTTAAAACAAAATAGACTGTGACATGTTAAAGTACTGTGAAAAGGACAACCTCATAACATCGAACCTATTCGAGAGTGCCCGTATGTTGTGCGTGGGAGCAGGTGCAAGAATTATGCTCATCAATAATTTTGTGTAAAAAATGGCATATGTTTTGGACTTTTAAACTCAGTTTGTCACCAAATTTTGACTCCCAGGTAGGTTATTCATTTTTTTTCTGAGAATGTTATGACGTTTCATGTTATTTTATGAAGAAGAGGGGCTTACATTCGGAGACTAAAGAGATGAGTTTATTACTAACAGTGTAACAATTAAGGACGTTCTTGAGCGTAACGAAGACACTCTAGATTAAGTCGTCCACGAATTCACATCATGCGCGAGAAAAAGGTACTTGCTCCAAATTGTCAACATGGCGTCTCTAAGAGTCTCCAGGAACGCACGTTTTCGACTAATTTGGTTTTACACACTTATTATTCTAAGCATCCACATCAAGCTGCCGGTAAGAAAATTTTAGACAAACTGTGATAGACTGGGTAGTGATCCACTGAGGAATGACCAATCTCATATAACTTTATTTATAGAATATTGGCATGCACAAAGGTGATAAGAATGTGGATATTTTACAGAAATGACATCTTAATGATGAAAAACGACATGGTTTTGCTTGCAACAGAAAGTGGTATTGACGGAGGAGACAGAGGTGGAAAGTTTTTCCAGCGTTACCTTTAGTCTGGTGGGAGGCATTTTGTCATGGTTCCAATTTGGGATGTGACAAGGGTGTTCACAGCATGTAACAAGACTGGGATGGTGGGTGGGGGGGCACAGAGGTGCCATTTGTAGCCCCATTTTACCCAGCATCTGTGCATGAGAAAATTTTTCCAAAAACAAAAGGGTCATGTTCTACCTGTGCTACATTTAGTCTGTTTCACCACACCACATTAAAAATGTATCAGTAAATTTATGCTCTGTTTTATGAAGATTATTTGAAGTAAAATTTTGACATGTGTATGTCCTCCTTCGATCATGCACAGATTCCCTTCCAGGGCAATTTACTAGGCTAGGTATTTAAAAAGACACAGGATCTATATTAGTTTTAACACTTGTAAATCGTCTAATATAAGGGGGTTTGAACCTTAATTCTAGAATACATGTAATAGCTACATTTGAAAAAAATTAGTAAAGTATCTAAAGCCCCTAGAATCCTAACAGATCCATGCCTATGTGCATAGTTTTGTAGTTTGTTTAACAGAACTTACAAAAGTCACAGCAATCCAAGCCCTGCTTGTATATAAGGTGCAATAACAAGATTATAAAAATCTTGATGTCATTGAATGCGGATTATGTAGCCCGTCCAACTCTATATATCTTTTATCAGTCAAGTTCCAGAGCATATTGCAAGAACACTGGCTATCTTCACCCAGATGTGCTCTGTCTGTTTTTGATGATAACGACCACATGTTCCATGAACCTCTTATAAATGAATGTATCTGTAGCTTGGTAACCAGACCGATTTGTCTTTTTTTATGTTGTGAAGAATTACAGGAATTATTCTTTTACCAACATCACCTAAAAAATTTTTTAATGTTAAGTTCCTTAGCATTTTGTTGTTCTATTCAGTGTTTCCAAGATGATGGAAGAAACGACCGTTCCAACTGATGAGAGCTATGACTATGACAGTGATGATCACCTGTATGATCGGCCAGCAGAGAGGTGGGCACCACTTGGAGCAAATGCAAGCCCTGCCCCTTCTGTCACTGAAACAAGGTAGGGGTTTTATATTTAACTTTATATTATTTGAAATTATTAGGCATTTGATAAGCTAAAAATAAAATGTACACATTGAAAAAATATAAACCAACTATTGGTTTGCTGGAAAATGAAACCAACTTTTGCAGCTAAAGTGCTGAATGTTTTAAAATTTTCAACATTTGGCAACAGTTATTTTATTCTATTTTTCAAGCTGTTATACATGATGCCTTGGCATCGATTCAGTTAGTTTGTTACACATCTTTATTATGTTATATCCTGATTAGGAATGCTTTCTAAACCAGATAATGGCAGCATGTATGTGAAATCGGTATATTCACATTCACACATAACATTTTTCAGCCACTTATAGTATGTCAATATTAGATTATTAACTTATCTCCATATGTTTTCCTGTGCCCTACTTTTTATATGTACACTTGCTAATCATTATTTTGCCCCTTTTAAAAAGTCGTGATGGTACATTTTGTTCACTTTTCTCATTTGTTGAGCCTAAAAAGGATTCGTGACTATAGAACAAAAAGTATGTTAGTTCTGATATCATGTTTATCAAACATCCTGGTATTACCCTCATCAAGTTTTCATCTTGACTGAATAACAAATTATACCTTTAGAGTAGCTTACCTGTCCACCCAGAAACCATTACAAAGACATGTTGATGAGGTGAGTATGCTGTAGAATCACTACCTGTCAACAGAACATTGTCACTGACACCTTGGACATGGTCAGGTGCCTTGGTAAATAATTGTTTACCACGTTTCTTTATCTCTTTTTATATGTAGTCATTTCACTGAAGCAGAACAACTGAGGCGGCTGGAGGAAGAGCAGGAAGAACTGAATAACTCTCTCTTTGCATTGACCACACATTTTGCTCAAGTACAGTTCAGGCTGAAACAGATTGTGTCTGCTGATCCAGAAGAGAAAGAGGTATTACTAGAAATATGATGACATAATTTATAAGCATTGCTGACCATGTAACAGGAGATAACTGCTGTGGAATTTCATGTTTGCTGTATGTTCATAATCAGAGTGGGTGCATTTGAGATTTTACCAAATGTTTCATATTGCTATTGACAGAAGAACCTATATGCTTCTAATTCATATGATATACATAGGTTGTTAGTAATTTCCCCTTATTGTACGGATGTTCAGCTTACTGTGAACAATTGATATATAAACAGTTATGATAGGGTATTATTGAGATCAGTGTAAGGTCATCAGTGAATGTGGGCACCAAAAATAACCTTCTACTGGTAGGATATTAGCTAGCATAATTGTATTCATGCCAGACATATTAGATAACTATATTAAAGAAATACTAGTAAATCCATTTTAAAACAATGCCAACATAGAGTGAATACCCCTATTAAATAAATGCAAACGACCTGCTGTGATGAGTAACCCATTCATAATTTAATATGAAGATCTATAAATTCAGTGTATGTTATAGTTCTAATTTATATACCAGCATATACCTAGGCAAAATGTGATTTATCTTAGTGTTTTCTTATGTGGATAGAAATCTTATAGGTACCCTTCATGGGTTTGAAAATTCCCAAAATACTTATTTTTAGTTAATCACTCAGATAAAGCTTCATGCTAAAGTCAAGATGGTCCATTTTTGTGTGATATGCCACAAAGCAAATCTTATTGTGACAGTCTCTAATGAAGCTGGTGGTACCTGATAACTGACTAAGGAGATCAGTTAGAATTAACCTAAAAGGTCAGCAGAAATGTGAGTTTCAGTATTAGGTAACATGTAATTGTAACCAGCATACCCTTACTACATGAAGTCCTATATCTGAAAGATCATTACTGTCAACTTAACTGTATCATTTATAAACTTGTATACTTCTCCAAATGTCACACCAGAAGGTAAGCAGACATTTAGAATCTTATGATATCAATGATGTTTTTGTACATGTTTGATGTTATTTCACATATTTGGATTATAAGTGTTTATACTGTGACAGGTTTCCTCTTAACATAAGACTTCTCTGTACACATGAATTGACCCTCATGCTTATCAAGTATAAGAGTTTGTTCAGTTACATTAAGGGTGCCATGTGTTTCATGCAACATCTATTACAGGCAAAGTGCATATGAAATAGACTAATTTTTTATTTTAAAAAATGCCTCATGGATGATATACTTCAGAATTTCAGTGACTTTTAAATGATATAATTGATCTCTATGTGCTCTTAATAAAATCAAGGTTGGAACTGTGAATGAAGAAGTTGCTAGCCATCACATACTGCAGTATAAATAGTTGGAAATTTTATTGATTGATAAGTCACAATCAGTAGTTTCTTCAAATGATTCTTTACAATCATAGACTCATTTTTATGTACAGACACAGATGTGTCTGTACATATAGCCATCATCTGCGTCTGTCGTCGCCGTCGTCGCCGTGCACTTTTACCGATAACACGATAAGTGGAAAACCATTTTACCTTTTGACTTGAAACTTGCAGAACTGATGAATATTCATAATACGCAGGTCAAGTTCGAAAATCAGCATGATCGGGTCACTTTTAGGGAATTTATGCTGTTTTTTCACTTTTTTCAGCATATATGCAGCACCGATAACACGATAAGTGGAAAACCATTTTACCTTTTGACTTGAAACTTACAGAACTGATGAANGACCATGTTACCTGTTGTGCAAGATTAAAATTCAGTGTTGACTGACAGTGCTATTATAAGCATTATTTATTATTGCATCAAAATTGACAAAATGACCTTTTTTGCATCTTTATTTTCTGTTTTTTGTCTGTACATTTGACAGCTTTGCTGCCTTGTTTTTTTTTTTTTTTGCCCTGGAAAGTGAAAGATGACGTGAATTGTTCAGTAAGCTCCCTGCATGTGCATGTCAGTATGTCCCTTCTTATTTACCTTGTGAAAAACTTTTGAAATCTGGCATTTTATATTCAAGTAAGTTCATTATTAATTGATTTGCTTGGCTGTTTGATTATTTTTTCATTAGACCCATTTTAAGTTTTGTCCTAACATTGTCAATGATATTTGTGTTTCAGGATGACCATGAGCATGATCAAAAAATTAGAGAACAGAGGGAAAAACAGCAAGAACTGATAATGCAGCTGAAAGACCAACTGGAGGAACTGGAGAAATATGCCTATGAAGTAAGTGCTCTCTGTTGTAAAATTTGAACATTTTAGATCTCAAAAATGACAATTAGCAAGTAAATTCAAATTACAAGGATGGCAAATAAAATATCAACTGAATAATTTTCAGGTTTACTATGGTGCAGAATTAAGCGATATACAGAGTGAGATGTCATGTGAATCTAAATGTTATATTGATTGCAGTTTTGAAACCAAAAGCAACCCTATTTTAATATGTAATGCAGATCTATCAATTTATATAAGACTAACAAGGGATGCTAGCAATTTTCCAGTGCCCATGAAAAATGTTTCTTTGTGTGTTTGGCACTAATTGTGATTGATCACAAACCTCCAAAGCCTCACCACTGGTCATAATTTCCAATCAGAGGAGATTATCCTTTATTTTTGGTACTCCAGACAAGATAAATCTTTGAGATTGAATATTTATTCTTCAGTCTGGAACTGCTGATGACCTTCCTACAAGTATCCAGATGGAAAAACAGAAAGTCATTATTGATGAGTTGAAGAATAAGCTGGAGTTGGAACTGGACGATTTTGCCAAACTAAGGTATGAAGAAATGTTAAGTGAATTTTGGTTTTCTTTTTAAACTGAATTGAATTTTATCTATTTTGAGTGGATGATTGTCTTAAAAAATGTGAATCTTTGTTTGCTTTTGTAGCTACTTTGAGTGGACTGTTTAAAAAAACAATGACCAGTTTCCAATATTTACTTATTATTCCTTAATAATTTGAAACTATTTATTGTTTAAAAAGCCATTGCATTATGTTGACTTTAAGTTTTTGTTCTGCTTTGCAAAGTGATTATTTATCATTTCAGTCCTGAGCAGTTGAGAGATGTGGTGAATGATGCAATAGCTCAGGTGAGAAAATCTAAAACTTAACATGTGACATGCCCTCACCTGGTGCATCTATTGGTATTCCTATTCATGCTCTGGAACTCATTCAAGATTACACATAACTATTAACAACTGTAAGGTGATTTTCAAGTAACAGATGAATTGAAAGAAATCGGATCCTAGTATGTATCATAGATGTTGATGCAGAATGTGCTTGTCCTACACGTGTGTGAGGAGCACATGTGTAATGGGCACAAGTTTCAAGGTTTATAACACAAAATTTTGAATTAAGTTTTATCAGAGTGAATGCTGTTTTGCTGCTTTATTGATATCTTCAAACTTTAAAGATAGAAATGCATAAATTTAAGAAAATTTTAATATGTATTTGTGCAGATTGTGAATCCAGCCAAAGTCAAGGAAAAGTTAGTTGATCAGCTGAGAACACAAGTATCAGATCTGGAGAGGTTCATTTCCTTCTTACAAGGTGAGATATATTCTTGTTGCATTTCACAAATTGAAGTGTACTTGAAACTTTTTATCAATATACTGTGGCAATATTATTGGTGTTTAACATATAAGATAGAAGAAAGTGAACAAGAAATGTTTAATAGCACTGGTGGCCACATTTTTATGTACAGACACAGATGTGTCTGTACATATTGCCATCATCTGTCGTCGCCGTCGTCGTCGATGGTGATGCCGCGGCCGATGCCGTGCACTTTCCTTGTAAACACAATAAGTGGAACACAGTTTTATTTTTTGCTTTTATATTTACAGAGCTGATGAATATTCATAAAACGCAGGTCAAGTTCGAAAATCAGCATGATCGGGCCATTATAGTAGAAGTTATGCTGTTTTTTCACTTTTCAGCATATATACAACCCTGTAAACACATTTTAAGGAAAACCGTTAGGCCTGTTGTCATGAAACTCACAGGAGTAATCAATCTTACTAAAATGCAGGACAAGTTCGAAAATCGGCATGATCGGGCCACTATTTTAGTAGTTATGCTGATTTTTTCATTTTTCAGCTTATATGCAACACTGTAAACACAATATAAGAAAAACAGATAGGTCAATTGTCATTATACTCACAGGAGTGGTCAATCTTACTAAAACGCAGGTTGAGTTCGAAAATCAGCATTAACGGGCCATTATTTTAGAAGTTTTGTTTTTTCACATTTCCTGAGATTTAATTCTAAGGCATGTTAACAGTCTCATTATTGAACTAATAAGATACGTAAAAGTGTTTGTTTGACATTTCCTGCATCTTTACAATATTGTTAGTTGATTATGTAAAAATTATGGTAAACTTGTTATCGTGTTTTGTGTAATAAAGTGTCAAAAATGGAAATAAACTCATATCATTGCAGTTTGTCAGATTCAATCATTCACTATGTTCAGAATCTCAGAATGGAAGAAATTGGACATTTAACACTGCTCTATTGATATTTTTCCCATCTCATCAATTTTCTTAGTTGATCATATAAAAATGGCAGTAAACTGTTAATTTTGTTTTATGTTAAAAATTGTTAAAAATGGGGAAAAAACATTTCAGAACAGTGCTGTCTTGTTTACATTTTGGCATTTTCAAGTTTTGACTTTGAAGTTCCATGGGCCTGAAGACCTTTGCTAATCACATTTTCTGAATATCCATAATACTAATATTTTATTAATAAAAGTTGATGGTCATTATNTGCGGCCGGAGTTGGAAAAACAGTCTAATATTGGCTTCTTTTTCTGGAAGTTATACATTTTCAAAGTGCAAACTTGAACTCCCATGGGCCTGAAGCCTTATGCTTGTTACACATTTTACTTACATTGGTATTACCTGTTGAGCATAATTAAAATTTGATGTTGAATTTGCAGTTTAACATAATGTACTTTTGCATCAGAATTGACAGTAGCCTATTTTGTGCATAGTTATTTCCTGTTTTTTGTCTGTACATTTGACAGCTTTGCTGCCTTGTTGTTTGTCAAAGTAAATGAAATGCAAAGCTTTGTCAATTGAATCTAACATGATAAAGAGGTAAGCAACCTCTGAATGCTGCATGCTGTTGATATTCAAAGAAACTTGTATATTGATTTCAAGGAGATGCTGAGAGCCCTGGTCCTCTAGGTCAGACACGCTGCACTTGTCACTGCCCTGCACATGGTCCAAACAAGGTAAACACATCATTTAGTGATTTATGCGGCTATTAATAACTCAGATCATATGAATGACAGCTGAACAAATTTAATTAGAATTATAGGCCTGTGTAATGGAAAAATTCACACAACAGACACAGCTGATCAAACTGACTTCATTCAGTGAAACAAAACACACTGGTCATGTATCTTTACTGACTGTTTACATTTCACTACAAAACAAGTGACGGCACTGTACAGGTAACAATATTCCTGTTAAGATGCATTCAGTTTTATGTAAGGTAAGTGATTTTCTTTCAGTTTTGTTAGAAACCAATTTTTTCAGGAAACCAACTTTATGTCATGTACATATGTGTGTTGTATTGCAGCTGTCTAGTGATGAGCACTCTGACATCTCCATGCAGCAAGAATGTTGTATTCCTGATCACAGGTACAGAATAAAAGACAAATCTGAGAAGGTGAGTTAGACTTATGAAATTGGACTTCGAGTTAATATGGCATTAATTTATTTGAGGCTATCTGTTTAATCCACCACAGCCAAAAAAAAAATAATAATAAGTAAATAATAATAATAATTATTATTATAATAATAAAATAAATAAAAAAGAAAAACACAACTTACATTTTTTGCCAGGTAACCAAGCTTGCAGTAGGTCACATTTTAGTCATTGTTAAAGGATAATAGCTGATCTATATAGTGCAAGAGTTCGATGAATAGATTTGTCCTGAATGTTTTGTAATATGATATGACACGCAACTATAATTCAAAACTTCCCTTTGAAGTAACTATAGGCCTCTCTAAATGTAGATGTTTTTTATTTGGTTATTATCAAGTTGCTAAGGATAGATGATGGAGGTAGTCACCAGGTTCACTAAATACCTTAGAACTCCACCAAATACCATAAAACAGAAAGCTAATAAGATGCGCATACACTTCTTTGATAGCCAAAGGTGAGTATTTGTTATTTAGTTATCTGTCATTTTCTCTAGGATCAAAATGCTACGGCTATGACAGCAATGAAGAGGGCATTGACTGTGCTCCAAATATTTGTTATAACACAGTTTGGTTGTGGAAGCAGAGAATTCAGGAAGAACACACTTAAGAAGACAATGAAAGCAAATCATTATGGGTATGTTATTTATCAACTAAAGGACTAAGTGATTATTGGGGAGGATGTAAGCATTCAGGGTAGTGGTCTTTTAGAACTGAATTATATTGGATTCAGATGAAAACATAACTGCATTTATACTTTCTGGTGTTATTAGAATGTTGTTGTCTTAGGCTAGACATTCAAGCACTTGTAGGACATACAAGCATAGATGAGATCATCTGTCTCCTTACACACACACACACACACACACACACACACACACACACACCTATGGTTTGTGGAAGCCCGTCATATGAATATCATAATAATAACTTTGACTTACTAGAACCAATTTGAATTTGGATTGAAGAAAGTAATTCTGTTAAAAAAATTGATTTGAGCAAGAATATACCTGACCAAATTTTTGACGTGCATCTGTACAAAGCAAATCCTTGCAAAATTAGCTGGAACTTTGGCATTATTGGTTCATAGTATTACCTTAGGCAGATAGAATGCATGTTTTCTCAGACCAAGAAAATATACAGCATGATAACATCCCTTGGTTGAAAATCCAGTATCAGATTGAGAAACTTCCACTAGTTCAATAGTGTGCCTCTTATATTGTTCTTGTATCTAAAAAGGCATGGTATATTTAATGAGTGTATTTCTGAAGACAGATAGACATTCCAACCTCCTTTGATGATTAATTGTTTCCCTACTCCTATTTATAATTAACAATAATGTTGATATGTAGGCAATGATTTGCATGTATATTAGTGTGTTGATTTTATCCCAAAACTCTTACATTTTGAAATTAGATTTTGTTAGTTTTTGTAGCAATATTTTACCACTTTGCTTTCATCAAGCATTTTTATAAAATCATGCAAATATATTCTTTTTTTTTCAGTGATTTACGTGCCAGGGTGGAAGTTGCCATAGAGAAAGTCTTGGAGCTAGCAAAAACCCAGGAGAATTATGAAGTGCCTGACAGTGATTATACCAGTGATACAGAAGAGGTAGTGGAATGAGAAAAAATATTTCAAATTGCAGATGTTATAGTCTTGATAAATCATAAACCATATTAAGCATTTGATCAGACATACAAACTTGAGGTGCCAGAGATGTAACCACATTAATATTGACTTTTGCAAGTAATAATTATAATTTCTTTCTTTAGTTTGGCCAATAAGTGGTAGTAAGTAAGTGAGAGAGAGAAACCTTGCTTGTTAGTGTCTTTAAATCAAGCCAATTTGACAGTAGCATTAATATTATTATTGACATAACCTCTCTTGATTCTGCTATAAGGAGTAGTATATATTTCAAAGTGAAGCTGAAACTAAATCATTAAGTGATTTTTAATCTTAATTTTATGTATTGCTTTATTTTTTATCACTTATGGCAGACCTATACATAAGTGATGAACTTGCTGATTTCTATTCAGAGCTTTACTGTCCAGTGTAACCAGGCCTTAACCATGGCAGTTAGAAAGAGCCTTGCTTTAGCACTCAGAGACCTTTTACAGCATGGTTTGGTTGAGGTAAGGAAGTCATGGGTGCTCAGTCATTGATGATACTTTTGGAACATATCAAATGAAATACAAGTGACAGTTTTCTTGCAAGAGAGATGTTGTGGCAGCATTCTCAAGAGATGAGCAACTCCAAACTCTTTATAAAGGGAATATTTGCACTTACTTGTACCGTATCTCATAGTAGCATTTTGTATTCGAGGTTCTCTTGGTTTTTGATAGTTATCCAAACATGTATGTTTTATTTATTTTATGGAATCTGTTTAGTGAGGATGCTTTAAGATAGAGTTTATTTAGCCAATTATAAAAATCGGAAATCATTTTCCTTTTGGAGCAATATACAGAGTAAAATAATAGAATAATACAATAAATAAATGAATTAAGAATTTGGTTTTGAGATCAAATTAAAATGCATCACTGCACTTGGATAAAAGCTGTTTAAAAAGCATTTACTGCCTTTAAAAGTTAAAAAGTAAAAGTTAAAATAGTAAATATACTGTGTGATGTGTGTATATGTCTTGCTTATGATTTCAGATGAGCCAGAGTCGCAGTCTTGTAAGTCCTATTGGATGTTTTCCAGTCAGGTCTCAGGCTGTACCTAAAACCATGCATCCTTGGGAACTGTTTATCAAGTACTATGAAATGAAGGTAAGAGGAATGCTTGTTGACCATTTCTTGGGAGGGATTCTTCCAAAATAAAACTGGGGACTCAGCGCCCTCCCCTCCCCTTCAATGTTTCCCCATTAAATGGAAGTTGATTTTTCCCTCATGTCTCTCACCTTAGCTTCTATATTGATTTTCTGCGAAATTCTGGTATATTTTCTTCATCTTAGTTTAATCTGAAAGTCAAGTAGAGTTTCAGTGAAACTTTGGCATAATCTGAAACAAAATACACATTTCTAAAGATTGTAGAGATGTACCAGACTGAGTGTAATTATGCAGAATGATGAGATAAATTAAAACAATATTTTATTAACCTTTTACTATTAACAGCATGGCAGAGAGTACAACGATACCCCTGTAAGAAAACTGTCAGAGTCCTTCCACTTAAACATGGTTGGAAGCAAAGCTGTTACAGCAAAACAGGTAAGTATTTTTGAAGTTCAGAAAAATGCACATTTTTTTAGAGAAATCAAGTATTGTGTTACAATATGTATTAAAGGTATCCGTTCTGGGATTTTTTCCAGGATTTCTCTAATATACTATTAAATAGAAATAATTCCTTTTAGTGTTCCACATATTAAATGTCTCGTTAACGTAATCGGGATCAACTGCTGTCTCTTGTGTTTGTATATTTGTACATTTTCTTTGATTGTTACAATGATGGCTTATTTCAGACTCTTCTTGGTGCCATTCACAACATCTTGACATCTCACAGGCCCCTGAAGAGAAGTAATGATGCCATGTTCAAAGCCTTCATTTGCCGTGCACTGAAGTAAGCACACTAATATTATAGTCTGTCTGTGCGTAATGGGAGGAGAAAAAGTTTGTGCATAATTTATTACCGAATTTGCAGAATTCATTACAATGTCATGTTAAAGTAGGTTAAAGTGTAAGCTGCCACCTAAAATCACAGTCAGATGTGATTTTGTTGATTCAGAGATTTTAGCCAGCAGTAATATGTCTATGACTCCCTCATTAACTATGTTCTCAAACATTTGCTTTTTAGTGAGAAGCGTATAGTGACGTGGTTCCGGTTGGTGTTTAAGACAACACCTCTTATAGACCATTTTTACCAGCCATGGAGTTATGTTGTTAAGACAAGTAAGTAGAACTGTCAGTGAAAACATTAATTTCAGTTGTCTTTCCTTATAATAGACCATCGATGTCTTTCATTACACAGTAATATTTCTGCATTCTGTGGTACAGTTCTAAGCAGACATACTGTGCCTTTTTTTCAAGTTATTTTATAAATGCATGCAAACAATTATGCAAACTTGGATCTGAATATGTGCAGACGTGTTAGGAGTGTGTCAAAATTTAGTAAATTCAAAAGGTATTATCAAACGAAATGAATTTACATATGACACATAAAAGTTGAAGTTAAATATCTTTATCTTTCAGACTTTGAAGACACTTTTGCCTCTCTACAGAGACTAAAGGACATTGAATTCCACTTACCTGTGGATCTGGCAGTCAGACCATTCACAAACATTAAAGATGCATTTTGATGACAAGATCTTACAGGTCACGTTAATACACAACCAGATTACAACTGGTTTCAGGCTTCATGTATTTGGTGCATAAATGTATGTGTGCTTGCTTTCTCTGCAGATAATGTTTCAAAGCATCTAATATCTACTATTATAACTGTCTGCAAGAATTGACTATAATAATTTGTACATTCCTTTTGCATATAGATGCTGGTTGATATATGGTTGCTCTTTGTGAAGTATATTTTCCATTTTGTATTTATGGATATTAAGATTTTCAAACTTGAATAACTTTCCAAACTAGACTATAATTCTACAGTGTTGTGATTGCATGTTACAATGGTATTGTATAAAATTATTCTTTGATAAAACTTACTACTCATCCTGGCATTCCATTATGATTAAACTGGTAGCATTGAATGCTGCGCATTCCACATTTGACAATATGAACAGTATATAAAAGACATCAAATATAAAGATATATTGATTGATGGATAAGACACAGTGTAGGTGGTGGTGGGGAATAAGTAAGGTAGTAATATCATTTTCCATTTTTTTGTGACAGTTAGCACAAAGTAGTGCGGTATCAGGGATGTCAGCAGTAGCAGTTTACCAAATATCCTTGTTGTGATCTTGTGGAATTTATCATCTCATTGCTTACAGATGTCATTCATTTTGTTGATTCATGACAATCATTTCACTGCGTTCAACTGAAGAGAAATTTTTATCTTCAGTGTAGTGTTTACAATTATAATTGATGTGCAATAAATATTATTAATTCAGGAATCATATGTTACATGTTATAGTTGTATTGTGTTGGTGATTAATTAGAGTCCACCATATTACAATGGTATGCTCATAGAGGCCAATTGAAACTACAATTAAAAGCAATCCTCTGGTATTGAAATGTACACAGCCGTCATAAAGACATATTGTAACCCATAACTGGGATTTCAACTTAATGGATAATTGTTCACTTCCAGTGTCAGGTGTAGTTTGCCAACTTGCATTAACGGATTCACGGTTAATAATTAAACTATTACTGAAAACATTGAATGTTGCTTCAGAATGGACAGGAAGGTTACATGAAGTTATTGAGAGTGGTTCATTGTATTCTTTGTTTTTGGTTCTGTACTGTGAAGGACCAAATGCAACTGTATTGTTATATCTGTCTCCAGAGGAAGCCCATAAGGGGTTACTGTTTTTGCTTTTGCATTTAAAGATAAAATTGAATATATGCGCTTAAATGTTCTCAAGAAGAAGAAAAAAAAGGCCAGTGGTAAACTGGGCAAGAAATTTGCCTTTCATATATTATAATGGCATTATTAAAGACAGCTGTTGGAGTTAATACTTTTTGTCAGGAGCTTAACTGATACCCATTGCATACATATTAATTTTTTTCAGACATACTTAAAGATGGCTTTTCATGAAACTAAGAAAAGTTGTCATGGTCTATTTTCTTATTATTCAGTTTATTAAATTGATTAATCCAACAAAGTCATTGGGGCAGTCTGTGCAGTGTTCTGTTAGCTTCTTTAGTTTTTGAAAATAATAATTTTGTCTCAACAGCTTAATATGCATTTTTTAAACTCAGTTTCTATTATACTTTACACATAATACATACTACAGCTATTTTTTAAATCATTTTCAGGTACTTTGACAGCTTTGTAGTTTACTGTCATACTCCATTTTCCCTTACTGTAGTCATTATTAGCACTGAAGCTTTATGGTATTTCTCTTTGCAAGGCCTGTTTGACTTCACAGAAAGTTGTTCTTAAAAGAGTTTTTATGAAGATTTTGAAAAAAGAAATAAACAGTCATTTTCATGCATTTTTTTTATCAATTGCCAGAATATGTTTAGGTTTTGGGTTGAATCTGTTACTTGCCAGAATATGTTTAGGTTGTGGTTGAATCTGTTAAAATGATATATTAAAAACTATAAATGTTTATGCAAATAAACTATTCTAAAAATGCTGTTCATTCGTGCAAAACTGTTGCTGTAGATGCTAAAGATGTTATTATTATTATTAGTATATTATTATTATTATTATTATTACACCTGCGACAAGACATTGTGATCAATGCCCTTTGTAAATGGGTCAAAATGTCGCCTTGAAGGTAAAAATACACACTTAGTCTCAGGGACTCTCTGTAATAATACATTTATTTACTTTTTTAACAATTATTTTTTAAATGTAATTTTCTTTACTTTGCCCAGTTTAAATCTTTCCAAGAATAAATAAATAACTGATATTTAACCCCAAAGGTAAATTCAAGATGAGTGAATACTGGCTTTTTTTCCCCAAAAAAGTCCCATTTCAAGCACTGAACTATTCTGGAGGTTCTAGCAACAGCTGAAAATTTGGCAAGGAATATACTGGATCTGGAACAAATTCTGTCTTCTCTTTCTCTTCCAGTTTCAAAAGATCTGCCACTTTTGCACGGGCTTTAAGTCTACCTTTGACAAAGGCACGATTTTTATCCCAGAATGTGGAGATAAATTTATCTGTAACAATGTATGATGTGTTGCCTTTTTTCTGCCCAACACCTGGGACATCATATATTTGTAATTGACTGATACTATTCCCTTTTTAAGAATGGCATCTTTGAGACGATTCTTAATCAGTGGATTGGTTTGTGCCATTGGTTGCAATGCATGAAAAAGATAATTCCTTGGAATATGAAAATCTTGTTTGTCCTTGTAAACAGTAAGCCCTTTTTCTGTGAGTGTAGAAACTTGTTTTTCACATACACAGAATAACATTGAAGGTGGTGAGTACTGCTTCATTATCCATGGTGCATTATACCAGGAACTATTGTCCAAGTTAAAATTTTGAATAAAATACCTCCTATAACAGGTAGCCAGTGCAATTGCTTTAAAACGAGTGTGACACGAGTCTCCCTGGCTGTGCAGGTTAAAAAGATGCCCTGAAATATTTTTAATTTGATGCAGTTTTTTTCATTTGTTCTTTGGTACAGCCATAGAAAAAAAATAGTTGCAGTAGTCTACATGTGAGGTGGTCATTGTCCTAGAATAGTGTTAATGTATTGTTCCACAAATAAAAGGTGAGATTTTTCTCCACTTAACTTGGTATTGTTAGCTGTTGATGGGACTATTGATAATAAACTTTGTGTACTTCCTTCATTCTTTTTATTCCTTTACGTGCTTCACAATCACAACAGATTAACTTATTCCAATCTATGGAAACGATGTGCACAAGAGTATTTAAAGTGCATTGTTGCAAAGGTTATGACAAATGAAACAATAAGTGCAAATTCAAAGTAAAATCAATTAATGCTTCTAAAAATGACTTATTTTAGAAGCATATACAGTAATCTCCATACCATTTCTTTCCTTATAAAGTTTCCAATTTACGTATGGACCTTTTAGAAGAAAAAAATTGTTACCACAACTGAATCCCAATATAAATTCAATCTAAGTGCAAAACTGGATTTATGTTCAATTTCTTGCATGTACCCTTTAAAACACTGAACTATTTTGGAGATTCCAGTGACAGCTTAAAATCTGGTAAAGAGTATACTGGGTCAGGAACAAATTCTGTCTTCTCTTTCTCTTCCAGTTTTAAAAGATCTGCCACTTTTGCACGGGCTTTAAGTCTACCTTTGACAAAGGCATGGTTTTTATCCCAAAATTTTGAGATAAATTTATCCGTAACAATGTATGATGTGTTGCCTTTTTTCTGTCCAACACCTGGGGCATAGCGTATTTGTAAATGTCTAGTGGTATTCCCTTTAAGAATGGCATCTTTGAGATGATTCTTAATCAGAGGATTGGCTTTTAAAATTGGTTGCAATGCATGAAGAAGATAATTCCTAGGAATATGAAAATTTTGTTTGTCCTTGTAAACAGTAAGCCCTTTTTCTGAAGGACTCTTCTGTGTGTGTAAAAACTTGTTTATCACATACACAGAATTACATTGAAGGCGGTGAGTATTGTACAACATAGAAATTAGCTGCTTCATTATCCATGGTGCATTATACCAGGAACTATTGTCCATTGATGTCTCATATGGCAGAAGAAAGGAGAGTGTGTCTCTGTGAAAAGCATTGAAACAGGCATCGAAATCCCAACCTATGTTAGTTGGTTTGTCCAACTCAAGGTGTTGACGAAAAGGTTCTGCATATCTACCATAACCAACTGCAGGTTCAAATTCCAGCAAGAAATCCTCAAATCTTTCATATGGGTCTGCTTTCATTTCACTCCAGGGTTTCCAATTCACATGTGGCTCTGAGCGATTTTGTAAAATAACATCATTATCAAGGAATATGTAGTACAAGTAACCACCATCACCTCTGTTCTTTGCTTGTTCTATTGCATAATCTAAAATCATATTGCGCCCAGAACCCCACGTGGAATTTGGAGCATTGATATTTCCCGTCTTGTCTCCAACTTTAAAAGTTAACCAGAAAACATCTCTGTCTTTATCAGCTTTTAATCCTGTCACTTCTGTGCAGGTATATGCATTGACAAGGTAGACAAACCTTTTACCTTTTGTCATTTTATCATTTAAATGTGATGAATATGGCAATGTGTTATTCCCATTGGCCTCATGCTCCTTTTTGTGATTGCCTCTTAGTCTGATACCTTTGCCTGTCTTCACTTTTATGACAGCATCCATATAAAGAGTGTAGTTCCAAAATAGCAGCAACACTGCAGTAGCACTTATGCAAAACAGCAAAATATACTTTTTAGAGAGTGAATGTCCACGTACTAATATGATGCCTGCCATCTGTAAAAAAGTACAACACTTTACAAATTCAGGCCTAACCAACTACCAGACTCGGCACCTAAGGATCCTGAATTAACCGGTATATCGGACCACACTACCCGTTTTCAAGGTGTGTGTCAGATAGCATTTCGGAGTATCATACCCAAGAACAAATTTTGTAGGACGACTGCGGGCTCATCCACGCTCGGCTGAACAACCTTAAACTGTACTCTTACTTTAGAGTACTCTATTTCATTATCTCTATGGGGGTATATGGGGACTTTACGACATTCGGTTTGAATGCTTTAACCACTTTTGATAGGGCTTTTTTGCATTGTATTAGATTAATATGCCAGTCTAAGGTTCATCTAGGTGGCTTTCAAATTTATGCACCCGGTTTTTAAATCATATAGCGATTTAATACGACAATCGTTTACTATCCAATCAAGGTGACAGCCGAGCGTGGGCTCATCCTGTCGGTGTTCTGACTGATACTCCGAAATGCGATCTGACACACACCTTGAAAACGGGTAGTGTGGTCCGATATATACCGGTTAAGTCAGGATCCTTAGGTGCCGAGTCTGGTAGTTGGTTAGGCCTGAAATTGGCATTTTGGTAAATTATCTCATGGGGCCAGATTTTTATGCAACCAATTACCCATATTGTATGAATATTCTTAACTAACAAAAATTATCTGATAAACTATTTTAAGAAATGCAGTTCTTTTTTTAACAATCTACCAGTTCAGTGATGGGTACCAGGACAATTACCCCTGTGCAATAGTCCCCAAATAGCCCCCCCTCCCAATTCAAGTGTTTAGAATATTTCACCCTTTTGAGAAAATGGAGACTTATATTTTACATTTAAGTGAACTTAAATAATACTTAATCAACAGGTCCTAGAATGAAATTGTCACCATGTAGAATTGTCCTAGAATCATGTTAATGTATTGCTCCACAAATAAAGGGTGAGTTTTTTTTTCTCCCCAAAAATAGGTATTGCTAGCTATTGATGAGACTATTGATAACAAGCTATGTGTACCTCATTCATAATTTTTATTCTTTTAAATGGATCACAACATATTAACTAATGTATAGAAACAATGTGCACAGTAAAGTTTAAACTGCACTTTTGCAAAGGTTATGACAAATCAAACAACAAATTCAAAACAAAATCAATTAATGCTTCTACATGTAAAAGTTACAAACTTTTTTAAAAAGAAGTTTCTTCTTTGCAAAGTAAAAGAATGTATGGTAATATTCACACAACTGGCTTGCTTTTTCTTGCCAAAGTTGTATGCAGTTTTATGTATAAAAGAATTCACCTATATAAATTAACTTATTTCAGAAGTATATAATGTTCATTCCATTTCCTTCCTTATGAAGTGGCCAATTAATGGACCTTTTATAAGAACAAAAAATTGTTACTACAACTGAATCCCAATATAAATTCAACCTGAGTGCAAATCTGGACTTATGACTTATGTTCAATTTCTTGCATATCTCCTTTAAAATACTGAACTATTTTGGAGGTTCCAGTGACAGCTTAAAATTTGGCAAGGAATATACTGGATCGGGAACAAATTCTGTCTTCTCATTCTCTTTCAGTTTCAAAAGATCCACCACTTTTACACGGGCTTTAAGTCTTCCTTTGACAAAGGCATGACTTTTATCCCAAAAATTTGAGATAAATTTATCTGTAACAATGTATGATGTGTTGCCTTTTTTCTGTCCAACACCTGGGGCATTGCGTATTTGTAATTGACTGATAGCATTCCCTTTAAGAATGGCATCTTTGAGATGATTCTTAATCGGAGGATTGGTTTGTGCCATTGGTTGCAATGCATGAAGAAGATAATTCCTTGGAATATGAAAATTTTGTTTGTCATTGTACACATTAGGCCCTTTTTCTGAAGGACTCTTCTTTGAGTGTAAAAACTTGTTTTCCACAAATACAGAATTACATTGAAGGCGGTGAGTATTGTACAACATAGAAATTAGCTGCTTCATTATCCATGGTGCATTATACCAGGAACTATTGTCCATTGATGTCTCATATGGCAGAAGAAAGGAGAGTGTGTCTCTGTGAAAAGCATTGAAACAGGCATCAAAATCCCAACCTATGTTAGTTGGTTTGTCCAACTCATGGTGTTGACGATAAGGTTCTGCATATCTACCATAACCAACTGCAGGTTCAAATTCCAGCAAGAAATCCTCAAATCTTTCATATGGGTCTGCTTTCATTTCACTCCAGGGTTTCCAATTCACATGTGGCTCTGAGCGAGTTCGTAAAATGACATCATTATCAAGGAAAATATAGTACAAATAACCACCATCACCTCTCTTTTTTGCTTGTTCTATTGCATAATCTAAAATCATATTGCGCCCAGAACTCCATGTAGAATTTGGAGCATTGACATTTCCAGTCTTGTCTCCAACTTTAAAAGTTAACCAGAAAACATCTCTGTCTTTATCAGCTTTTAATCCTGTCACTTCTGTACGGGTTTTTGCATTGACAAGGTAGACAAACCTTTTGCCTCTTGTCATTCCATCATTTGAATTTGATGTCACTGTATTAATCCCATTGTCCACTGGTTCCTTTTTGTGCCCGCCTCCTTGTTTGTTACCTTTGCCTGTCATCACTTTTATGTCAGCATCCATATAAAGAGTGTAGTTCCAACATAGCAGCAACACTGTAGCACTTAAGCAAAACAGCACAATATACTTTTTAGAGAGTAAATGTCCACGCACTAACACAATGCCTTCCATCTGTAAAAAAGAACAACACTTTACAAATTGGCATTTTGGTAAATTATCTCATTGGGCCAGATTTTTATGCAACCACCATATTGTACGAATATTGTTAACTAACAAAAATTATCTGATAAACTATCTTTAAAAAATGCAGTTATTTTTTTAAATGATCTACCAGTTCAGTGATGGTTACCAGGACAATTACCCCTGTGCAATAGTTCCCAAATACCCCCCCCCCCCTCCAAATCAAGTGTTGAGAATATTTCACCTTGTTAAGAAAATGGAAAATTATATTTTATACTAAAGTGAACTTGAATAATACTTTATCAATGTGTCCTAGAATGGAATTGTCACCATGTAGAATTGTCCTAGAATCATGTATTGCTCCACAAATAAAGGATGAGGTTTCTCCTCAAAACTAGGTATTGCTAGCTATTGATGGGACTAATGATAATAAGCCATGTGTACTTTATTCATAATGTTTATTCTTTTCCATGGGTCACAACATATTAACTAATTCCAATGTATGGAAACAATGTGCACAGTAGTCTATAAACTGCACTATTGCATAGGTTATGACAATTCAAACACAAGAAATTCAAAGCAAAATCAATTAATGCTTCTAAAAATGACATACTTTTTAAAAGAAGTTTCTTCTTTACAAAGTAAAAGAATGTTTGGTAATATTCACACAATTGTCTTGCTTTTTCTTGCCAAAGGTGTTTGATGTTTTATGAATCTGTTTAAAAGAATATATATAAATAATTCACATTTATAAGTAAACTTATTTTAGAAGTATATAACATTCATTCCATTTCTTTCCTTATGAAGTGTCCAATTTATGGACCTTTTAGAAGAACAAAGAAAAATTGTTACCACAACTGAATCCCAATGTTAAATTCAACATAAGTGCATATCCCCTTTAAAACAGTAAACTATTTTGGAGGTGTAAGTGATAGCTTAAAATTTGGCAAGGAATATACTGGTTCAGGAACAAATTCTGTCTTCTCATTCTCTTCCAGTTTTACAAGATCTGCCACTTTTGCACGGGCTTTAAGTCTTCCTTTGACAAAGGCATGATTTTTATTCCAAAACTTTGAGATAAATTTATCTGTAACAATGTATGATGTCTTGCCTTTTTTCTGTCCTACACCTGGGGCATAGCGTATTTGTAATTGACTGATTCTATTCCCTTTAAGAATGGCATCTTTGAGATGATTCTTAATCAGAGGATTGGTTTGTGTCATTGGTTGCAATGCATGAAGAAGATAATTCCTTGGAGTTTGAAAATTTTGCTTGTCTTTGTACTCTGTTCCAGATTTTTTCTTTTGCATGTGTCTTGCTTCATTTATCACATACACCGAATTACATTGAAGGCGGTGAGTATTGTACAACATAGAAATTAACTGCTTCATTATCCATGGTGCATTATACCAGGAACTATTGTCCATTGATGTCTCATATGGCAGAAGAAAGGAGAGTGTGTCTCTGTGAAAAGCATTGAAACAGGCATCAAAATCCCAACCTATGTTAGTTGGTTTGTCCAACTCATGGTGTTGACGATAAGGTTCTGCATATCTACCATAACCAACTGCAGGTTCAAATTCCAGCAAGAAATCCTCAAATCTTTCATATGGGTCTGCTTTCATTTCACTCCAGGGTTTCCAATTCACATGTGGCTCTGAGCGATTTTGTAAAATAACATCATTATCAAGGAATATGTAGTACAAGTAACCACCATCACCTCTCTTTTTTGCTTGTTCTATTGCATAATCTAAAATCATATTGCGCCCAGAACTCCACGTCGAGTTTGGAGCATTGACATTTCCTGTCTTGTCTCCAACTTTAAAAGTTAACCAGAAAACATCTCTGTCTTTATCAGCTTTTAATCCTGTCACTTCTGTACGGGTTTTTGCATTGACAAGGTAGACAAACCTTTTGCCTCTTGTCATTCCATTATTTGAATTTGATGAATATGTCACTGTATTATTCCTAATGTATTCAACCTCATTTCTGTGACTGTCTCCTTGTTTGATATCTTTGCCTGTCATCACTGTTGTAAACGGATCCAGAAAAAGTGTGTGGTTCCAACATATGAGCAACACTGCGAGACTTATGCAAAACAGCAAAAAGTACTTTTTATAGAAAGAATATCCCTGCAAAAACATGTTGCCTGTCAGCTGTAAAAGAAAAGAAAATACACTACAAAGAAACTTTTCAAAAAGAAAAACTATTTGCTCATGTGGCCACATTCTTATGAAACCTATTATCCATATTGTATAAATATTGTTTAACAGAAATATCTTAATAAAGGTGCCCAGGTTAACATTTTGCCACTAAAAACTGGGCAGACATTTTCTCTGAATAACCAACTTTTGATCACCTTCCCAACACCACATAAACTATATTAGGCTGTGGATGTTTAGGAGATTCTTTAGCCTGGTATATATGTTTGTCATTGTCTGGCTGTTTCAGCAAAAGGCATTTATAAGAACACAATTGGAGAGAGAGAAAACTTAATTTCATCAACAGTTTAGTTATGATCTGTTGGTCTCTCTTCTGCTTCGTATATATATATATGTATTTTCTGTATATCTGTATATTTTCCAATACTTTCTCCTTCAAAACATTCATTTTTCTAAATCAAATTTGCATTTGTTGAGGTTTAGTATCAGTCACTTTTCTCAGATATGTTGATTTCACTATAAAATATATAATCCAATGACTTTAAAGCTATGGCACACATGTGGTTGGAATTTTCCTGTCTATCATACCAGTAGGTACTTCACCTACCACAAACCAATTAGCATTTGGTATCAGTAAGTAGACTAAAACGGGCGTGTCTCAATAGTCCAAAGGTTTAGTTGTCCAAAAGTTCATTTATAAAAAAAAACTATAACGTTTCATCAGTCTTTTAATAAAATGATCTGTTGGTCCAAGGTTTTATAGTGAATATTTGGATCAATGAACCTTTGGAAACTTCTAATTATTGTCATGCAGCCACTAAGACAAGCTGCACTATACACAGTAGATAATATAACTTCTTATTTGTTATTTATTTAATTTTCAGTATCAATTCTGGTCAAGAAGTAAAGCCATGGCAGGTATAAGCTGGTAAAAAAAGCATTGCTATTCTGCCCCCCCCCCTTCCATTTCCATGATTAAACATCTGACACCCACTGTTTACAAAAATCTTTACCACAAAAAGGTGACCTCTTAACGTGGTGCCCAGCGGCCCTGTTACCCTGTACTTTGGTCACAGAAAGTATGTTAAGGCTAAATACAGTGCTAAATAATTTTACCTCCTGCACTCCTTTTGTTAAATTTTCATTCACGTAAGCTCACAGGTCTTAGCCTGCCCTGCCTAAACAAATGGTTGGGATGGTTATATCATTTATGTTAACTTCTTGATCTACACAAAATGATGAGAGAGTTTTTAAATGTTTTTTGATTGACCATGTACAAATTCTGGACATATTGTGCTATTGTGAATACAAATGTTTGGCCTCGTCTGCCTGTACATGTACAGGGGGCGTCTCGATAGTCCGAAGGTTCATTGGTCCGAAGGTTCATTGGTCCGAAAAACGGTAACATTTTCATCGGTTTTTTAATCAAGGGTTCATTGGTCCGAAGGTTCTGTAGTGAACTTTCGGACCAATGAACCTTCGGACTATTGAACCTTCGGACTACTGCTACGGCCCCCATGTACAAGTGCGGGCGTCTCGATAGTCCGAAGGTTCATTGGTCCGAAGGTTCATTGGTCTGAAAAGTGGTAACATTTTCATCGATTTTTTAATCAAGGGTTCATTGGTCCGAAGGTTCTATAGTGAACATTCGGACCAATGAACCTTCGGATTTTGAACCTTCGGACTATCGCTACGGCCCCGTACAATTCAGGAGGAACTGTTGACATTTGGTACTTTTATATGAGGGGTTTTACTGTTTTTAAAGGCTGAATTACATGTATGAAAGACTATAGTAGCCTCGAATGATACGTAGAAAATGTAACATTTGGATATATTCAAACGCGTACAATATACATTTAAAATTATTCTTCTTTATTGACAGCGAGGACTATCCATTAAGATTCACCTTTCACGTTTTCTATCACGAAGTTTCATGCTCTATGACTCCTAATTACATTTTCTGATACAGGTATATACTAGTATAACTTTTAAACTATAAAGGGTGTATGACATAATGTGCACATAACTGTGAAATAACGGTCAGCACGCATAGGAGAAAACGAAAAAACAAGTCCTAACGCATGGATTTTCATGCTACACATTTTAATAAACGTGTTAACACCAAAACACATCTCACATATTCTTCCAATTTTTCAAAGGTTATCCTATGCTGTAATGAAGCAGTGTAAGGTCCTACATAAAATGTCTCACGTTTACCTCACCCTGACACTCACCTGCGTAATATCCTGCTGCGCAATATATTGATCTTGAGCAATGGCGACTTGCAATATATTTACACCTTACATTGTGCTCAGGCTCACCTGGGTCTTAGCATTGTTATGTGTGAGTCTCGTTCGAAAGTATGTCACCGATTTCATATTACATGTGACCTGTACACGGCAGTATCGATCAGCAGTAATTTTGCTCGACGTGTGTGCATAATAATGTATCTTACAGCGCTTGTGTGGAAATGATATGACTGCTAGAGGGTAATAATTCGACTCAATCACGGGGAACCCCGACAAAATAAAAAGTATAAAACAACTTACATCATTTTGTAGTGCTATTGACCTTTTTTTTTTTCTTCACACGCAAGCTCTAAATATGCTGCGATGCTTTGGCTACGCCCTGGTATGCCTGAAATAGATTCATCACGAACGGTGCTGGATACGTGTCCTTTTGTGACTTGACGTAGCCTACAGTATCATATTTCATCATCCACTTCATTTATGTGCATTATATTGTTTTGTAATGCAGATGCTTCAGTGTATACCCCAGTAAAATCACGGGCGGATCCAGTGCGATACATGTAGGCCTACCAGTAGGCCTAATATTAGTATAAGTTCCTTTTAACAATCATTTCTCGAAAAAGGTGCCGATACATACAGGTATAACTTATACATTTTTCACTTTTTCAAACCAATTTTTACATTTTCTTGTTCTTCTTTTTCAAATCTATAGGCCTACCTATAGGCTACAAAACGGTCGATTCGCACAGTACAAGCTGATAGCTAAACATAGGCCTAATGTACCTAATGTAACATAAATACTTATTCAAAAAAGTAAAATAGCCATTAAAGACGTGGGGGCGTCACGATAGTCCGAAGGTTCATTGGTCCGAAGGTTCATTGGTCCGAAAAGTGGTAACGTTTTCATCGACTTTTTAATCAAGGGTTCATTGGTCCGAAGGTTCTATAGTGAACATTCGGACCAATGAACCTTCGGACTATTGAACCTTCGGACTATCGCTACAGCCCCGAAGAGGTAATGTGCAATTACATGTCTCCAACATTCTTCACTTTCCCGATAAGAAGAATGGAACAGGTGTATTTAATTTAGTAAACATTTTTCTTACACTGAACTACTGTAGGGCCTATATAAAATGTTATACAACATTATGAGTAATGCATGAATCATGGAATTGCTTTTCAAATGTTCTTAAAATCCTTAAACAATTGTATATTATAGTCGTCGTGCGACCACTCACCTTTATTCTTTACTTCTAGTCCTCTAACAGAAAGGACAGGAATGAGAAATAGATAAAGGTTGCCCTCTTTAGGCTGCACCTACGTTCTTACGAAATGATTCTCCTTTACAATACGAACTTCCTGATTTTGCTCATAAACAAACATGAATTATTTAATACCCATAGGCCTATACGGTATAGGCCCTAATGAATGAACCCTACAGTACATCAGACCGACAATAATATGGTGCCACCATATCTTTTTTACAAAGGTAACTAGAGGGATTCTTCCTTAAAGATACATACAAAGTCAATTTTTTTGTCATAAAAACCAACCAAATGCCAGCATATAGTTTCAAGTAGTTAACTAAGAGAATTACCAAAAGGCATTGTTTAATTTTACCGGAAAGTGATGTTTGAACAGATTTTTCTGCTAGCATTCTATGCTGTAGGGCCTATGTCAATGGGGCAGAAAAGTAGGCCACGAAAGTAGGTTAAATTGACAACCAAAAATTTAAAGAAAGGAGCACTCTAAAGCTCTTTTATGGCTGATCGGGTGATTTATTCAGTTTATCCCTTGGCATGTCGAATTTATTAGAGTCGTATAAGAAACTAGTAGAAGTGGTTTACATGTGTTACTGGGAATCCACGCTCCACCGATGCTCGGTTCGTATGTACCTTTAAACAAAACGCAATACACAACATGAACTAGAGCTGTAATGATTAAATCCTAGCGAGTCCGGCGAAATAGGCCTTGTAGTAGGTCTACCTTTATGTCAGACATGAAGGAGAAAGAACAGGAGAAAGAACTTTGGTTTATGGCCATTTACCTTAATTTTCAAATGCTTCATCGTTGAAAAAGCAATTTAATTGTCCGCGTCATAATTTATACCCCTTTAAACTTAATCTCCTTTCTAATTTTGAAAATTCGTAGCTTGAAGGACCTCCCCTCCCCAACCACCTCAGAATATGAAAAGCGTTGAAAGTGTGTTAGTTGTGACAAAGAATACAATGCATTTTATCTGTCTTTCGTTTTTAGGACACGTCAGGTTTATCAGCTGGTCATACAACGTCCTCATATTGAATTATTTATATTTTATTCTTGAAAAAAGCAAAGATAGAAAAAACTTTATTGTAAGGTTGAATACTGCCAAAATCATTTTGATGTAAACTAACTGTGACATGAACTTCTAGCTCTGCAAGGATGGACTGGTGATCTACCGAAGACACAGAAACTGTTATCTCCTTATCTAATTAAATATACCGCATCGGGGATTGTTTGATGGTGACAGATGCAGGCACATACAGCAAGCACACAACATGAGTGTCAAGGCGTTTGAGCTGGTCCCGGCTGTGGAACGGGACAAATTTTTATCAAAGCAAAAGGTGGGTGTATCTCGGCCGGTGCCGTCTTATTTAGATTGCAATAAGACGAAATGCCCCCCCCCCTTATTACACGTGAATTACGTCTCTCTCTCCCTCTCTCTCTCTCTCTCTCTCTCTCTCTCTGTTCTTACATTTTAATGTTACTGTATCTGTATCTGTCAATACACGTCTAAAGAACCACTACTGGATATGATAGACGGGAAGAGAGAGCGCATTGCATGGGAACTTAATCACCCTGTAGGCCCACGCTCGGCTGTCACCTTGATTGGATAGTAAACGGTTGTCGTAAAATCGCTAAATGATATTAAAACCCGGTGCATAAAGTTGAAAACCATCTAGGACAATCTTAGACTGCCACATTAATCCAATACAATGCAAAAATAAACTATAACAAGTGGTTAAAGCCTTCAAACCGAATGTCGTAAAGTCCCCATATACCTCCATAGAGACAATAAAATATAGTAAGCTTCTGAAACAAGAAAAATCCAGTTCCAACATAATAATCGAAATAAAATACTGCCGGGCATCGGAGCGGCCTAAAACTTGGCACGCTTACCGCTAATACTGCAGGCTACATCATCCCTCGCTCGTTTGTAAATTCCGTGCATGGCATATGCACAATCAAACCGTATATCCAAATTCCACCTCTGATGTTTGAATTGGTCCTCTCTACAATCCAATTCAGGAAATGACGTAACCGCAGAGGTCGCATTGTCCAATGGCATGGCTTCTTTTTCGTAATGGTAGGTTAGAGAGGACCAATTCAAACATCAGAGGTGGGATTTGGATATACGGTTTGATTGTGCGTATGCCATGCACGGAATTTACAAACGAGCGACGGGATGATGTAGCCTGCAGTATTAGCGGTAAGCGTGCCAAGTTTTAGGCCGCTCCGATGCCCGGCAGTATTTTATTTCGATTATTATGTTGGAACTGGATTTTTCTTGTTTCAGAAGCTTACTATATTTTATTGTCTCTATGGAGGTATATGGGGACTTTACGACATTCGGTTTGAAGGCTTTAACCACTTGTTATAGTTTATTTTTGCATTGTATTGGATTAATGTGGCAGTCTAAGATTGTCCTAGGTGGTTTTCAACTTTATGCACCGGGTTTTAATATCATTTAGCGATTTTACGACAACCGTTTACTATCCAATCAAGGTGACAGCCGAGCGTGTGTAGGCCTGATCTGAAGCCTTCCACAGTTTTTGCAGTATCTTGTTGGTCACTCAGTTTGTTCCACTCGGAGACTCTGACTGTTCTGATAAAGAAAGTTTTTTTCTAACTGGCGTGCTGCAGACTTGCAGACGGTAACAGCGACTATATTTTCTGTGATTGAAGCGTGAAAGAGTATGTAGTACTTGTACCTATGAGTACATGCATGTACATGAACTAGTATAGTAATGAATACTCTTAGAAGTACATGTATGTCACACTCTTTATTTTTTTCGTTTTTCAGATTGAGTGCATAGACTGCTGTGGTAAGAATTTATATATTGGAACAGACAGTTGGTGAGTAAAATACCAAGAGTATACTGTAGAATAGGCTGCCAAGATTGAATTTACTTACCCAAAAATTTATTTAGATGACACTTTTTATTATTAAATCTCAAGAAATGTTAACAGCTAGTAGATCAAGTTTCATCTCACTGATGTAAGTAGCTGTTGTGTGGTGAGCATCAACTTAGCATAAAATTCATGCATTTGCACTCCTATTGACAATTTTGATATGCTGTGCTATCGCATCAAAACAAAGGCCTCAAAAAGTATAAAATGAACACCAGTTTCCAAACCAGGTGCAGTGTGGAGCTCTCAAATTTTAACCTCTCATCTTACCTCTCACCTCCTCAACTTACACACTGCTGTAAAGCCAACCAGTTTCCCTATCACAGAGCTGTGAGTAAGGTGATATTCATCTGCTTGTCTAATTCTTTAAACCTATTCAAGACAATCAGAATTTGTTCAAGGGGCTGAGTCAAAAGACTGACAAAAGGAAATGAGCTGCCTTTGAGAGAGATTATGCCAAATGCAACTTAGCTAAGTCTATATAAGCTAAGATTTTAGTCCAAAAACTTAAAGACTTTTTTGTGAAACAGACCTGACAGCTCACTGCTGTGGAACTTATGATGTGAGCAGGCAGGGTTTGTATGTAGTAGGATTAAGTTTTATTATATACTTAAACAGGATGCTTTTTTTTATAAATTGGTGAAATGCTTAATTCCATGAATCATTTATTCTTTTATTTGTACTGTTTTAATTGCAGTTTTGTTATCCATTACAAACTAGAGGAGAAAACCCTTCCAAATGGTAAAACAGGTTATGAAAGCAAGAAGCTGGGGCATAAATATCTTGGAGTGGTAAGAAGTATTCATTTGTCATATAAAGGAATCATGAAAATGGCTTGACTATTTTAAAAACTTGTAAGATATAATAAATGCTTTACATTATTTGTGCCAATTTATATGTTTTGGTTGTTTTTTACAATGACACATTTCCAGATTTCCTTTTCGTTCTTTAAATTGCTGGTTAATACTGTAATAACTCAATATTTTCAATGGGCAAAAATTATCAAACTTTCAGATACATTTTATAATCACAAAAATTATATGTCTATATAGCATATCTGGTGCTTTTACTGGGTAGAATAGAACTATAGAGTAGCCTGCTTTTTAATTTTGTTGCTACCACAGTAACCACTCAAGAAGAATGGTCTAATTTTTAGAAATATTTGACTTAAAAATACAATGTCTGTAAAATTCACAATTTTTCTCAATTAAAAAGATCGGATAGTTACTGTATATCTTATCTTATCCTCCATCATGTAGAAGAAACCTATCACCCAGCTAAAGGCTGCCTCAGCACTGACCAGAATCTTGGTGCTATGTGACAATACACTGACACTGCTCAACATGCTGGACCTGGAGGTCAGTTAGAGGGCATCTTTTTTTTTTAAGAATGTGATATCTGCAATTTGCAAAAGTCCAAGGACTTATTTCTAAACAGGGTTTCATTGTATTAGATATATTTGGTGCGTGTGGAGAGAGAGAGAGGGGAGAGGGAGAGATTAAATATATTTAGTTAGGGTATGTTTAAGATGATTTAAATATACAGTAAATTACTAATAAATATAACAGTCCGGAGTTAAGGTTAATATTTGAAATCATTAACTTAACAGTCCTCAGTACTTGCACTCTTTAAAAATTAACAGTATCTCGTTGCTAGCTATAAGAAAAAGTACAAACAGTGATAAGAAAAAGTAGCCTACAAACTTTATGAAAATTAATTTTGATATTCTTTCAGCCAATCATGACTGGTGCCAAAATCAAAGGTGTGACATCATTTTGTCTCAATGAGAACCCAAACCGTAGCAACCCTTTTAGCATTCAGGTAACACTGATTTAAGCCATTCACTCCTTTCAGACAGTCATGTTCACATTTGGTGTACAATGATGGCTAAGTGAGGATTAAGGTACTAGTTTACCAAAATCTATGCTTGATTTATGTAACTGAAGGTGGAATAGATAGATGTGATGGAGCTGGAGTTTTGAGGTTTGTGGGAGGGAACTTTTAGGAAGGGTTACTTGTGCCTCCATTTTCATCAACACAGTAGATTCCTGTAATAGTGAATTATATTGGGGCCTTAAACACAGATAACATTTGGTATTTCTATATAATAAGAATATGTTGCTTGCCATTCCAAATGTAAAGTGATCTTTCAGATTTGTGTGGCACTGAAGAAGAAGGTTGTTCAGCTTTATACAGTAACAGAAGACAGAATGAACCATGAAAAAGATGTCTCCATCAGTGACCCTGCCCTCAACATAGTAAGTTGCCAGCTCAAAAGTACATGATGTTGTTGTATACTGCATTGAAATGTTTATTTATGTTGCATACAAGATTTTTGAAAATAAAAGCAAATTAATCTTTGAATTGTCCAGTTATGTTTCAGCTTGGCTTGAAGTATTTTCCAGCACCTTTCTAATTCATTTAGCTGAATAGGAGGTTATCTGTGAAGGATTAGTATGTAGTGTTTTAATGTGTATTTTTAAATCACCATTTTTTACCATTTTGTCTTCCTTTTTATTATGTACAGACACAGATGTGTCTGTACATATAGCCATCATCTGCGTCTGTCGTCGCCGTCGCTGTCGTCGCCGTCGCCGTCGCCGTGCACTTTTACCGATAACACGATAAGTGGAAAACCATTTTACCTTTTGACTTGAAACTTGCAGAACTGATGAATATTCATAATACGCAGGTCAAGTTCGATAATCAGCATGATCGGGTCACTTTTAGGGAATTTATGCTGTTTTTTCACTTTTTTCAGCATATATGCAGCACCGATAACACGATAAGTGGAAAACCATTTTACCTTTTGACTTGAAACTTACAGAACTGATGAATATTCATAATACGCAGGTCAAGTTCGAAAATCAGCATGATCGGGTCACTTTTAGGGAATTTATGCTGTTTTTTCACTATTTTCAATATAAATGCAACACTGATAACACAATATAAGAAAAACGGATTGGCCAATTGTAATTATACTCACAGGAGTGGTCAATCTTACTAAAACGCAGGTTGAGTTCGAAAATAAGCATAATCGGGCCATTACTTAAGAAGTTATACTGTTTTTTCACATTTCCTCAGATTCAATTATTAGGCATGTTAACAGTCTCATTATTTAACTAATAAGATGCCTAAAAGTGTTTGTTTGATATTTCCTGCATCTTTACAACATTGTTAGTTGATTATGTAAAAAACATGGTAAACTTGTTATCATGTATTGTGTAATAAAGTGTCAAAAATGGAAATAAACTCATATCATTGCAGTTTGTCAGATTCAATCATCCACTATGTTCAGAATCTCAGAATGGAGGAAATTGGACATTTAACACTGTTCTATTGATACTTTTCCCATCTCATCAATTTTCTTAGTTGGACATATAAAAATGGCAGTAAAATGTTTATTTTGTTTTATGTTAAAAAAGTGTTAAAAATGGAAATAAACCCATTTCAGAGCAGTGCTGTCTTGTTTACATTTTGGCATTATCAAGGCGTGACTTTGAAGTTCCATGGGCCTGAAGACCTTTGCTAGTCACATTTTCTGAATATCTGTGATACAAATATTTTATAATTAAAAATTGATGGTTATTATGCTGTTAAACATTATGTAACGTTGCATCAAAATTTGAAGAAACCCCTATTTAGGGCACTGCTTCCATGATGACCATTTAAGGAAAATCATGTCACTTACTGTTTTCAAACTTACAGGATAGAAACATGGGACTAAAATACAGCTTCAGTAGGCAATGCAGTCTGTTTGGTTTTTTTTTTTTTTTTTTTTGGCAGTTAAACAGTTTTTTGTGAAAATTTAATTTTTCACATATTGGCATTTTCAAGGTGTGACTTTAAAGTTCCATGATCTTGAAGACTTTTGCTTGTCACATTTTCTGAATGTCCATGTTATTTGATTTTACTTGTTTCTCATTATCACAGGGTTTAGATGGTTCTCTAATTTGTGTTGCTACAACATCAGACTACAAAATTGTGAACTATGAAACTGGAGGATCTGTGGAATTATTTCCCTACGACTACCATGAAACTACACCATTGGTCAAGAGAATAGGCAAAGTAAGCTCATATGATCATCATCCTGAAAGGATGGTTTTCAGGAAGAGATAGTAATATTCAAAACTAGAATTCAATATGATAATTTCCGTTAAATGAGGATACCAAAAACAAACATTCTGCATATTTTAATATTATTTTATTTTATTTCTTAAAAGAATTGGTTTAGATGATATAGTGTTTCCATTTTTTTAATATGTATTTTGACACTGAATGCATTATTCTATTTTTTTCAAATTTATGTCAAACAGATATTTGAAGTTTGTCGTTTAAAAGTTCATAGTGTTGAAAATAACAATAACCAGAACTGTTAACTGCTATTTTTGTATGCCACTAGGAGGAGTTTCTGCTGAGTGCTCCCAATGCCTTAGGGTTATTTGCCAATGCTACAGGTGCCTCGCCCCGCCCTCCTCTGATGTGGAGTGACAGCCTCACTGCCATCACATATCATCATCCTTATGTTATAGCAATGAATGATGAGTTTATTACTGTACATAGGTAAGACTGGTTCATTACCCTCGCTATAAAACTGGTCAGCATTGTAAAAACTGTTTATTGTGTTAGATTTAAGTTTAATTTATGCCATTGGTATTTTACCACAATATGAAGTTTTAACATTTTCAACAAGCAGTACTTCAGTTTGAAAGTGCATCAATCCTTGGCCAAGATTTAACTTGCTTTAGATAACCTTCCATAAATATTAATTATTGATGATTTTGATTGACACGTGGAAGGCAAAACATTGCAGCATGTATTTCACCAAGTTCATAGCTGTGGCACTGAGGCACTTGTCATAACATTATTTTTTATATTATGTTTGGAATTGCAGTATTTTGGATCAGCAGCAGAAGCAGGCAGTGCCATTTAAAGGAGGAAGGTGTTTGGATGACTTTGATGGGAAGCTGTTTGTGGCCACAGGAAATGATGTATGGGCTCTATTCCCTGTACACTGGGAAAAGCAGGTTAGTGTGCTTTTTATGGTCTCTGTTATAAGACATATTCCATACATATATTGACGTCGAGTAAGGTCAACTCGGGATTTTTTGACCCTGAACTGGAATAATTGACCAATGCCAATCATGTGGCAAGAAGTAAGATAGCACCCCATTGCTGTTATTTAATTAATAATGTTATTTTATTTATATTTAAAAAGTCACCTACCCATGCATTTTGTATCTTATTGCTTTATAGCACATACCTTCTAGCACTGTGTAATATTTGGAGATGATTGTTAGTTAAAATATGTTTTGATTTTCAAGGTTCAAGACTTGTTAGAGAACAAGAAGGTGGAAGAAGCCATAGAGCTGGCTCAGAATGCTAGGAACCATGGGCTCACTAAGGAAAAGTTCCAGAAGGTGGGTAAATTTAACCTTTGAAGAGCAGGAGTGGGAACACTGATGTTTGTTAAGTGCAAAGCTCTTACCTCATTGCTTCAATATCAAAAAGGTGAAGTAGAAAGCTCAAAGCTTAGGAGTGTGAAGTTAAAATTTTGTTTGTAATTTTTCTTTCAAGTTAACTATTATATACAGTTTTGATTTTGTAGAAAGTTGTAATTAATTTTCCATTTTCCCTGTGTCCAGGCTTTTGTCCATATCCTCCAGCAGGCTGGGTTTGTGGAGTTAGCCAGGGCAAACCTGGACCAAGCCAGGGACTACTTCAGAGATGGACAGTTAGATGTCAGAGAGGTACCTGGGCACTTCCCTCAAATTTGACATTTTGCTTGGATCACATTTAACATGTTTGGTTGTTGTATGATGCTGAAATTTTTTTAGTGTTATTTGAATATCATATTATGAACCATACGTACAGTATATGATTATAAGTAATTCTTTTTGAAAGAAAATCAGTATTATATCATTGACCTGTCTTTGTCTTTGTTTGCTTTTCGCATCAATATATACATCTGTTTTTCAGCTGATCAGTATTTATCCCAACTTGCTGCCCGCAAGCTCCAACTTCACCCGCTCTCCCTCCCTGCATAAGGACATTGCCGATGTGAACCAGCTAGCCAACCACCAGGTGGACAGAATCAAGGAGTATAAACAGTTCCTGGCAGAATATTTAGAAGAAATAAGAGAAACCAAAGAATCCATTGGACTCAAAACAGTAAGTTGTTTTTTTAAACCTTTGCTAAATGTGTGGGATTATAAATGTATGGTTTTTATCTCCTCTGGCCTCTGTAGTGCCTACCAGATGAAACATAAAATATATATACGTATGTTAATGCTGTTGCTTGCTGCTTGTGGCATTTTTTATGGTCATTAAAGTCATGGATGTGATGTTTTCCTTCCAGGAAATTGATACAGCACTCTTGAAGTTGTATGCTGAAAATAATTCCCCAAACCTAGTATTTCTACTTGCTTCTGAGTGTGCCTGTGAATTCAGTGACTGTGTTCAGTGTTTAGAAATGCACCAAAGGCAGTATGCTTTAGGGCTGCTCTATAGGTATCATGGTGACCATGAAAAAGCTTTACAAATATGGACAAGGTAAAAATAACAATAAGGGTTTGATTGTAACCAAATTTTATAATAAATCATGTGGACATTTTAATCATGTTTTTGCATATTCCAAAATAAACAGTGTAAGCATATAGTGTGTATATTTGCAGTATTTAAGAATTGATTACATTAAAAATTACTTTATATTTATTTTTATTGATATTTTTTATGGACTTAATAATATTTAGGTTTTTGATTCCAGAATAGCAAGTGGAGAACTGAAGGACGGTCAGTTTCCTGGTATAGATTTTATCATTGAATTTTTAGCTAAGTAAGTGTCCAGGAAAGGAGATCATTTGCTAACAAAGCTTTCAAAGCAAATTTTTAAAAATATAACATCTAATAAGCACTAATTATTTATACTTAAATCATATACACTTGCACTTTTGATATCAGGCAAGAGTAATTAGTATGACTTACAAGATTTATATCCTTCTAACTTTTCAGTTTAAGTAACCATGAACTTGTATGGAAATATGTGGACTGGGCTCTAGAAAGAAGTCAGGAGAAGGGTGTGAAGGCAAGATATTAAAAAACAAGATGTTTTTGTCATATATTTATAATATTTACCTGATTAGATTAAATGTATTGATTAAAACACGTGTGAATTTAAGTAGATGAAGTTTTGAATATATATTATATTATATTATATTATATTATATTATATTATATTATATTATATTATATTATATAATTTTTCTCAGATTTTCACTGAGAGACCAGAGGATGAACCCCAGACTGAAAGGATGCGCCCAGACACAGTTATAGACTATCTCCACAGGTTTCCTAGGGCTGTGATAGCTTACCTAGAGTATTTGGTGTTCACAAAGAAGTTAGAAGTAAGAATTTTTGCCAACTGTGTATTCTGTTTTCNAGTCAGGAGAAGGGTGTGAAGGCAAGATATTAAAAAACAAGATGTTTTTGTCATATATTTATAATATTTACCTGATTAGATTAAATGTATTGATTAAAACACGTGTGAATTTAAGTAGATGAAGTTTTGAATATATATTATATTATATTATATTATATTATATTATATTATATTATATTATATTATATTATATAATTTTTCTCAGATTTTCACTGAGAGACCAGAGGATGAACCCCAGACTGAAAGGATGCGCCCAGACACAGTTATAGACTATCTCCACAGGTTTCCTAGGGCTGTGATAGCTTACCTAGAGTATTTGGTGTTCACAAAGAAGTTAGAAGTAAGAATTTTGCCAACTGTGTATTCTGTTTTCAAAAAAAAAATTACTTCTTGGACAAATTATTAACCAAGGTTATAGTTAAAACAAATCTGTTATTCTGTGAATGCCTTTTTTATGTGAAATGTTCGAGTTTTTTTAGTTTCTCCAGTGTATGCTAATGCATTTAAGATTCTTAACGTGATACATAAACTTTCTTATCATAAATATGGTAAAAAACCTCTTTGCTTATTTTACTTATTTCCTTTATTAATTCTGAAATTAGAAAGCACATGTAGCTGCGGGATAACTATTATTGTCTTCTATTTATTTATTATTTTATTCTTTAATTTTTTAGAAAGAGAAGTATCATACACATCTAGCTGTCTTATACTTAGATACAGTTCTGCAGATGAAGAAAAATTCTGAAACACCAAATGAAGCTTTACAAGCAGCAAGGTAAGTAATAGTTATATGTTATAATTGTACCACCAGCGTTAGCGCTGGCGGTACAGCGTTAGCGCTGGCGGTACACATGGTTTTAGTCCCAACCAGATCGTTCCGCCGGCTCCGCCGACAAGTTACCCTTACCGCTTCTCCTCCTAGACGGTAAGGGCCTCCATACCCATCTCTTGGATTTAGGTCACCTATAATCTCAACTCGTTCCACGTAAAATTTGGGCTTTGTCGGTTTTGGGGTCTAGGTGTGGCACTCATTGCAATGCACCCTTGTCCAAAAATGGCAAAATTAAATGCTAATTATCTACCCTACGGAAGGAATTATGGGAAAAATTTCTACAGACAGCTTTCCAAAAGTCATATGTGTAGATTTCAAATGGCTTTGGATTTGACCTTTGACTTTTATTTCAAGGCCAAACGGGCCAAAATTTTCAAAAAAACGAATTTTTTTACAAAAAAAAAAAATTATTTGTGCTGTTATTCAGACACCACACAGACTTAACCAATAATATTACTGGAAAATGTTACCCTTCAGGTCATCTTTCATCCCCGTGAATTTGGGGTCAATCGGTGCATTTTCACGGGAGTAGCGGCCATAAGATACCGAAACTGAAAACTGTCTCTAATTCGGGAACCGTTAATGCTAGAGACCCATTCTTTTTTGCATTTTGTAGAGCATTTAAAGCCCAACACTGAGGGTGGTCTCCGTTTTTTTGTATTCCATACGGTTTTCGAGTTACGCTGTATCAAAAAGTACATATAAGTGGTCAAAGCAAAATGTGCAGTACGGTAATGGATAATAAATTTTGAACCCCGGAAAAATAAAACATAAGGCAGACAACTTGTGGTCAAAAATGACATTATTTCATCAAATTTGAACATCTGTAACTACAGAGCACTTCCAATTTCAAGAATTTTGACCAAAATGGCCTTTTCTTTATTTTAATTAATTTTTTCTGTAGGAAATTTATGGCACATTATTGTAACTCCAAAATTATAACATATAGTCCCTTATATCTCCAAAACTGGCAGAGATAGGTCCATAGTTACTATTGAACTTGAACAGGAAGTCATATACTGGCAATCTAAATGTGACCTTGAAATTGACCTTTGACCTACTTTTCATCATGAATTGAACTTTGCAAATTTTGGTTCCCTTTTATCTCCAAAACTGGCAGAGATAGGTCCATAGTAACTATTGAACTTGAATAGAAGTCATTAGAGGCAATCTAAATGTGACCTTGAAATTGACCTTTGACCTACTTTACACCATAAACTGAAGTTTACACATTTTGTTTCCCTTTTATCTCCAAAACTGGCAGAGATAGGTCCGTAGTTACTATTGAACTTGAATAGGAAGTCATATACTGGCAATCTAAATGTGACCTTGAAATTGACCTTTGACCTACTTTTCATCATGAATTGAACTTTGCAAATTTTCGTCCAAATTATCTCCAAAACTAGCAGAGATAGGTCCACAGTTACTATTGAATTTGAATAAGCAGTCATTAAAGTCAATTTACTGTGACCTTAAAATTGACCTTTGACCTACTTTTTACCATGAACTTAACATTGCAAATTTTGGTTCCCTTTTATCTCCAACACTGGCAAAAATACACCCATAGTAACTATTGAATTTGAATAGAAGTCAGTAGAGGCAATCTAAGTGTGACCTTGAAATTGACCTTTGGCCTACTTTTTACCATGAACTTAACTTTGCAAATTTTGGTTCCCTTTTATCTCTAAAACTGGCAAAGATACGCCCATAGTTACTATTGAATTTGAATAGGAAGTCATATACTGGCAATCTAAGTGTGACCTTGAAATTGACCTTTGACCTACTTTTAATCATGAATCGAACTTTGAAAATTTTGGTTCCCTTTTATCTCCAAAACTGGCAGAGATAGGTCCATGGTTACTATTGTACTTCAATAGGAAGTCATATACTGGCAATCTAAATGTGACCTTGAAATTGACCTTTGACCTACTTTTCATCATGAATTGAACTTTGCAAATTTTGGTTCCCTTTTATCTCCAAAACTGGCAGAGGTAGGCCCATAGTTGCTATTGAACATGAAAAGGAAGTCATATACTGGAAATTTATTGTGACCTTGAATTGACATTTGGCCTACCTCACTATGAACTGAACTTTGATTGTACCATTTTTAGTTATATATATTTTTTTGCATATTTTGAGAATTCTTGTTGATTGCATTTTTTACAGCTTGTCAAGCACAAGACTGGTGGTGGTGTCCCTTTTTTGTGTGTGTGTGTGGGTCTATACGATTGCGCATACTCCAGCTGGTGGTACAATATTCGGAGGCGGTATCGCCTCTCTGATCCTCTAGTTTAACTTTTTTTCATGATTGCTGTTCTAGTTCTAGTTTAGTACCTTTGTGCGTTTTACTGTAGGTGTAAATGTAAGAAAGCTGTAGATATGTAAGCACAGCTGCTGGTGTTGTAACAGAAGGGTCATACACGTGATGAGTCCCTTTTCAGATAAGGTTCTTAATACAAGGGAATATTTTCAGGTCAAAGTTACAGAATATGCTACAAGTTTCCAACTTATATAGGATACAGCTAATTCTGGGCAAGGTCAAGGAGACAGACATGTATGAGGAGTGTGCAATACTCTATGGAAAGGTAACTTACAGTAGTTATACATCACTTTGTCCCGCCTGTCTCAACCTCTGGTGGTCATATTTTTGGGCTTGGGTCATGGCACAGCTCACTAGTCCACTCAACAGTATTAATTGTAGGGATAGAATTATGGGTTTAGTTTTCATACTTTTTTCACAGTATAGATAATAGTTTCTATCAGTGGTAATAAGATTAAATGTAAGTTTACCTGCTATATCAATTGCAATATTATTCCTATAAAAAGTTCTTCCCTGTCAAGTTATGGTTTAAATGGCCAGAAGTTAAATACATATTTACATTTAATTTGTACAGCTTGAGGAGCATGAAAAGGCCATCCGCCTTTTAGTTCACAAACTACGAGACTACAGGGCAGCAGAAAACTACTGTTTGGTCAATTCCAAAGGGAAAGATCAGTCGTACAGGAAGAGGCTGTTCCAGATACTGTTGGGAGTTTACCTGGACCCTTCCTATGAGTAAGTGCCTCTGGCAATGAAATAGATGCTTGCATATTAAAGGCATTAGATCTTTATTTGGGAAAATGAAAAGAATTTTCTTGAAAATGTCAGTAATTTTCTCTCTCCCCAAGGTATACCCTATCCAAAACTGTTGAGAAAATTAGGATCTTCATACCTGTTCTCAACTTCTAAGTTATTAACTTTTACCAAAATTGAAAATTACAGGTCTCTATTACACCTTAAGAAAGTGACTAAACGATCAGTAACTTCTCAGAATTCAAGAACTGGTTGATGGATCTTATTTCTGTGAATTATTTTGGGTTTGGTTTACCTTGGTGATTATGGAAGAAGCATTGAACTTCCAGGAAAATAACATTTTTTGCTCCATTTAGAGGTCTTTATTCTTACTTTGTGCCTTTAAGGGATATATCGTGTATTTTTTCTGTCAGTGTTATGCAAAATTTGATGGTTATTTTTATTATCTGCATTCTAGCATTCTATCAAATTTTTGCATATTTTATGAATAATTGTAATTATTTCAGAAAACGAGATACCCTAATACACCCAGCAGTTTCGCTATTGAACAGCAGTGAGGCAGATTTTGATGTCATCAAAATCCTCCAGCTCCTACCAGAGAATTGGTCGGTGGGGCTATTAGAACTATTTCTGCATAGAGCTACTAGGAACAGTCTAGATAGGGCTCGTACGCGGCATGTAGAGCGCATGCTGTCACGGGGAGAAAACTTGGAGGTCCACAGGAGAGCAATGGAGGACCAGAGACAGGCTGTTTTGATGAATGAAGACAGGTGAATAGAAACACTTTCTTTATCTTTGTTGAAAATGTCTTGCGGCCTTCTTTGATATGTTAAAATTAAATATGTGATATTAAACAAGGCATATGGATTGTGTAAGAATTTTAGATGTGCGCTTATAACCTCTGAACATGAAAGGGGGGGGCTGAATTTGCTGCCACCTGGCTATCAAATATATATGTTTATTTTAATCAAGGTAAATAAACTATAAAAATTATTAAATTCTTGTTACTTTTACTGTATTTCATTCATGACACGGCATAACACTGATGCTTTCTGACCAGAAACTTTGTTTAGTTACTCAAAGGATTGAGTCTGACAATGGTCAAAAATTTCAGCTTATACCTAAGATAAATTTGTACCACAGAATTTGTTTGAAATTAATGATAAATGCTTTTTTGAGTCAACAAGTTACGTGTAGTCTTCTATTGATATGTATAGTTTTGATGTAAAAGTGTGTCTTTTTCCAGGTCATGCGCAGTATGTACGAGAGCTTTCAGTGAGTCCACCTTTGTTCGCTATCCCAATGGTATCATCACACATGTCCACTGTGCCAAGAACAAATATGTCTGCCCTGTCACTGGAAAACTGTTTAGCACAAATACCAGTTCTGGTAAAGACTCCTAGCAGACTACTCAAGCTGTCAACCAACCTCACATATTGGGATGTGATTCTTTCACTCTAGCACTCTGTAAATTGGAAAATTTTAAAGCTGTTGTGTGTCATCTAAACTGTATGAAAAATGCAAATAATATTTTGTATGGTTTGAGAACTGGGTGGAATAGTAGGGTGGGCAGCGATGTGATAGAGTAAAATCTATTACCACACAATGGATACAGTGATAAGTAAATTGAAGAAATCAGGTGGTGAAATCCCCATTCACTTGATCAAGGTCCATAGATGGTGGACCAAAACGTTGTGCTTGACTGATGTTATTTTGTCTGTAAGTAAAGAATAAATCCGGTTTATCATCCTTTGTAGAAACTATGAATAACTTTTTTCACAATAGATAAAGGAGAAATTTTGAGGTGGTTTATAGTATGGGAAAATTAATATTCTTTAAAAATGAGCTTTTTTTCAGTTTAGAGAGGAAATGCTCATGGGTCTTTTTTCTCTGAGATTAAATACAGATTTAATTTTGATATTGACCTATAGGTAGTTCAAATCCAGAGATGAACAATGAGGGGGAGTGGGATAAAATTTGTTATTTATTAAATATTGGTTTATTTGATGAGAACCTAGCATTATAACTTGAAAAAAGTTTTCCTGTCTCTATAGCCTCCTATTCCTTTTCATAAAAATTCAAGATAGTTTGTCCGTTGGTACTTGAAGCACATGACTGCAGGTGCTTTGTGTGTTTTTTTAAGCTGTGTGTGTATGTTTTGTCTGTTAACAGATATGCTGAACAAAATTCCAGGAAAACACTGAACAAACTAGAAGTAGAATTTAAGGCTATTTATTTTTTTACTAAAAGAGAAAGTTGTGTAAAAATGTTGTCATATCAGTGTGCGTATATTTCTTGCCTGAAACTGTAATATAAAGAGTTATTGCATATTCAACATATACTTGTCATCAAGAGCAGTTAAAGCAACAAATTAGAAAAGAATATGAAAACCAAGTAGATGGGGGCAGATGCCACTATTATCACGGAAGTTGTATGTTTCTGTGAAATTTGTCAATCGAAATAAAGGTTTTTACAGAAATTTTCTTGAGGTAAATCTGTCTAGTTAATCATAATAGCATATCACATAACACGTTGATACTGAACTCGAGAAATTCCCCATATGAATGCTCGTCAATTTGTCTTTCCCTTGAAAGATAGCCGGATTCGAAAAGATGTCACATTCTTCAAGATGTGAACGCTTTGTAAATTCTTCATTTTATGCGGTGAAGTGGTAACTGTATTTACTCGATGTCCAATCAATGTGCCCGGTCTTAACAACGTAATTAAGCAGAAACGCAAATACTGGGAGCTCCTGAAAAATGTAAAAAGAATGGTCAGCACCTGTATTTTTACGCTCTGTAAATATTTTGGTCTTTTAAAATCTGTCATTTTAAAAGGTCTCACCTTTGATGGAATACTGGTATAAATAAATCATTTACAATAAAATTATGTTAGTGGTGCCTGTATAAATTTGGTAGCTTCACATCTTTGATTGACCAAATTTAATTTCGATTTTGCTTTAATCTGAAGATAAATAAAACTGACCATGATCTCTGAGAGCGTTTTCGCATTGCTCGCGGAATTTTCCGGATCTTTTCATCTTTTCAAGTCCACGATGGATCCACATCATCCTGGGCGCCATGTCCTTTCTCACCATCACGCCGCCCTTCCCAATGGCGCAGTCGTAGGTCGTGGCCATCTTTTGTAGGTTTGGGAATTGGTTCTCTGGAGCAAAGATGGCGTCGATCTGAAATGATACTTTTCTTTTACTCATATGTTTGGGCAATTTTTTAAAAATGAATACGAGATTAATATTGATAAGGATAATGATGATAGTATATTTAGGAAAAAGGTACATTTGTATTTGTGAAGACACTAGCAGTGCCACGCGTCTGTAATGCGACATGATAATGACAGAATACGAGGCCATACCGAGTCATTATTGAGATGAGTTTCCAGTGCGTCGTAGGTTTCGGCCAAAACGTGCGCTGAAGCATCAAAAGCCACTCCATTTCTTGTCAGACAAGCGGGGCTGGTATAGTACGAACTGTCGAAACCTGCAACAATGACGAAATGAAACAAATAATACAAGCAACAAAGATTTACGATGGATCACAAAATGTTAATGTGGGTTTTTCGTCTGAAGATGATATCTTTTCCATTTGCCATTGGTAGCTCTTCACAAGTGAACCATACCGTGTCTAGTATTCTTTGGGGTTTAGAAACCTTAAGAGAGTGATATCGTTTTTAGAATATTGTTTACTGTCCCCGGCTGAGTCCACCATATAAGTGCGTACCGATTCTGGCTGTTCCTATGTCCACCGTTGCCCCGACCTTGGTGAAGAAGGCTCCCTTGACGGGTTCGTACATGCTGCCAACAATGGCAAACACGTTAGATCGTTCCACAGTCTTTATAAAGCCAACACATCCGTCAAACCACCTGCCCTGCAGACCTTGTTAGATCAGATGAAAAAAAATGTGATTTAAAACAAATTATAGGTCTTTTAAAATTATGATGCGATTTTGTTCATTGATCAGTGTTAAACTGTCTGAAAGATGGCAAAGTTAGTTTCTGACATTAAGTTATTTTGTTAAACCTAGAATTCAGGCTGTCATATTTGCCTTTTTTATTCACTTTACTATTTTGGCACAACCGAACTGAAAATGGAAAAGGTAGAAGATGTTAGTACAAACCAGGAGCATTTCGTCTCATGCTGTTCCAACAAGGACCGCCATCGTAGTTGACCACATGGGTGCAATTCTTGTTCTCCATTTTACAAATTTCCTTCATCATGTCCAGACCTTGACCTTTCAGAAAACCATTTTGATCACTAAAGAAGAATATCGACATTGTTCAGTTACAGTTGCCTCAGCCATCGAAAAGACAAATACGACAAATTACGTTTGCTTAGGTTGCTGAAGCAAATATGTTTATAACATGCATTATATTACAACGCATGCCAATTAGATGTACAAGTCCATATAGTCTTGTGAACACGGGTCATTTTATGACAAAAAAATTGTACTTCATAAATAAATTATCAAATTAGTTACCTGTATGATCGAAAAGTAGATTTTTTCGAGAATAATAAACGTGTTTTTGGCTATGAGGCATGACATTTACCAGTAGTCTCTTCGGAAAGTATTTATTTTTTACACCATCTAAACACAAGAGAATGAAAAGCCTATATTTAACTCACATATAGTATTGAGGTTTCCAGTCGACGTTGTAAGCAAATGTGTAGTGCCCTTCCATCATTGCCATTCTCTTTTTTTCATCTCGCATCCTCATTTCCTTACTCTCCTCCTTCTGTTTCACCATGTATTCGTGTATTTGCTCTACCATTTCCGACATTTCGGTCTCCATATTGGTTTTAACTTTTTGGGCCATCATATCCATATCCATTGCAGCCATTTTGGGGCTGGAGCAAGGAAAAATTGGCACGTGTCTAAATTAGTTTTGCTTACAGTGAGGTCTGTGTATTTCGTTGGATGTGTATTTGGAAAGTTTAAATTGGAACTGTCTCAGCCTCACTCTTCTGACATTAAAAAAAGGAAAGGAAGCTAAATCATAATACGATAAAATGTCTAATTTATGCCGTTAAGCTCAATCAATCTGAAAACTATCAAAGAACAATTACTCGCCAATTTGAAGCGCTCTTCACTCACCCAAGAAGTTGTCTAACTTCTTGACTCACCTGATGATCTTTGGTCTAGCATACGCAATCACCACCATCACAAGTGCAGCTACCGCAATAAGCAGTCCTAGCACTGCTACAGCCGTGGCCGTGGCTGAACGGGAGTTCGACATCCCTGGAACAGTACACAGGCACAGTAAGTGCTGATTTATCAGCCATGAGCTCAATATAATCTTTTGGAGACGGTCAGTAATTTCTATCAGAGATGCAGAAACTGTGTAAAATGTTGTGGTGATATCAAGTTTGCTAAATTCTTTGCCATTTTTATTGCTTGACGAAAATTGAAAAATTGATTATAAGAATAGCAAAATGAATTGTTAAGAACTTTAAAAACGCTACATCCATCGATGCCACAACAACAAGACCAAACAACCTACAGTGTACTAGATTTAAAAAAAAACTTGCAAACTCATGTACTACAAAGGAGTACTGACCGCAATCTTTTCAGTCACGAATCTTTCATGATAACGTGACTTACTTGGCAGCATCCGCTGGGTCAAGACCGAATTTTAAGATTGTGCCATAATAAATGTCGTATAATCAATATAATACCGTGCACAGCAGGCGTGGCATTGGTGAGGCAATGTAACTGGGATTAAACAAAGTATGTTGGGTTCCCAGTTACATGTGTAAATCGCTGCTCGGCGATCTATCGATGATCAAATTATGTAATTTCTTTTAACTAAAAATAATTAGGTTATCTTTCAACTCTCCCAATCATGCTGCTCAAATGACGTTTTCTAAAATATTTTTTAAATTTATAATTACACATGAGGGAAGGAGAAAACGTGATACAAAAGACGTTTATCGTATTCGCACTGGCGTAACGTGCCATCATACAGCGCAACTAGTAAAAATTTTACTTCTGTAATTTTCGATCTAATATTAGGCAGAATTCAAGAATTGTCTATTCGTACTTCTCTTCTTTCATCACTCAATATAAAAAACCCTCTTTCTCGTTTCTTTTTTTTTCACCGTTCTTTTTCATTTATTCGATTTTAAACATAGAATGTTCACAGGTTTGTTCACTTTTATTAAAAATGCTGTGTTTTAAACTAACACAGTATTTTTGTATTACTCACGAAATCAATCCAGCTGAAATATTGAGAATTTTACCTTTCTTATTCTCTCTGATGGCGTTTTCTGCGAAAAACACAGATCTGCTTTCTTTCTCGCCTGGCAAAGTTTCCTCGCTCATCAGGCTCATCAGTTCGCAATAGAATACAAACAGGAGGGTACTTCCAGTGCCCTCTGTTGCTCTCTTCGTTTGCTAACCTACTTGCGCTTGAAGCGAGTTGCAAGGTAAGATATATAGGGGTTTGTGGCCACGCCTCTCTTAGGCTACATGTATTATTGAACAGATTTACGGGATTTTAAGGATCAGTTTGTTGGAACACAGTTAAGGCCACCTGGGTAGAAAAAAGAGAGATAGAGAGAGAAAAATAGATAATAAATACAATAACTGCATCTAAACGCGTTTTCTAAGTTAGTCCTTTCTTTTAATTTCGATCAGCCCAAACGAATTCATTGTTGCAATTTAAACCTCTGAACTTGATTTCGAATTTCTGTTTTTTTTTTTTCAATAACTTTGTTTAAAACTTGAATGTTTTTAATATTTTTTATTTGGTTAGCACCATTGCTACATTAAGGGAAAATTTCGCCCAATGTTGTATCAGTTCCCGGTTTTCGTAACAATACCCATTGTCACCCGTAAATCTAGGAATTGAAACCCGTTCCTAATCCTTCGAGGCCATTTGTAGCAATACACAGCTGTCAAAGTGCCATCATTTGAGTTATGACGTCAGAAATGCTGTGTTTGATAAAAGGGTTTTTAACAGCAACGTAATGTCCAAACAGCAATACCCAAAGCTGCAAAAAAAAAAAATAAAAAAAATAAAAAAAATAAAAATAAAAAAAAATCTTTGAGAAACGGGTAAAACATCATCAAAAATAGCGTTACAGCCAGAATTGCAAATACGATCGCTCATTGAAACACAAGACAATTCTGAAGAATTTCTGTTTTTTTTTTCTCTTCATTACGTAATTTTTTGTCCCTACACTAATGATGAATGTAAGTCCATGTCCTGGCATCCCCACATGTGGTTACCCCCACTTTGTCATGAAAAGTTTACAAAATTGCGCGGCAGGGACCCGCTGTAAATCCACTTTAACCACTCGTTTCTCATAATAACGATTTTGCTTCCTTATTACAAGACTAAACGTGAAAAGCATGGTCTTATGCGTTGTCAATATAGATTAACGAATGTCAAACTAATAAGCCTCCGATAATCAGAATGCATTCTGTTTCTACGCAGACACGAAGACCTCGTTAAAAATGCCAAGTAATTGAGAGCTCATTAATATTTTTCAGATATTGGAGATAAGTAACAATTCAACTCGAACTTGCGGTAAAAGCGATGTTTTAATAAACGGAAAATTGAATTTTAAACAATTTGCGTAGAGATATTCTACATTTAGGCTATAGCAGTTTTCAACATTCAACAACAGCTCGTCACGAAAGTTTTTATTTCTCATTATATCTACACATCCGCCCACCTGAAGGAAAAGTAATTAAAGGCCATCATCAAAATTGTGATTTAAACTAATGACATGCAACCTTCGATTTTAAATCCACATACATTATACATCTATATACATGTACATAGCTTTCAGTAAAAGGTATCTGCATTGTTGTAATAAATATAATCTTAGTACCATCAGTTTTTTCCTGTTTGTACCAGCACTGTCATCATTAAAAAGTGTCTGAGGCAAATAAAGATCTCTTCCAAAAATTCATTGGACAAATTTTAAACGCTTTTAGCTAGCAACCCTCTGTTCCTTTCAGTCTGATTGCATTTTCTCTTTGTTTGAAATAGATGAGCCTTTTTATTAGACCTAGTTTAGAGGGCACCAGTATTTCTCATAAGTAAAGTGCTTTGTCTTAATGGGTCACTGATTTTGACAGCTTCTTTTCATGTTATAACTCGTGGAGTTACTTTTCCGCCCTTTTTTTCGTCAGTAAACATTAGCAGTGCCTTGTGCCAAGATATTGTAGGGAGGAAGGTATTTCTAATCACCGGCAAAATACAAAATAATTGGATTGTCATTTTTTAATGTTTTACAATAAAATAATTTGGAGAAATCTTAAAATAACTTTAACAAATTCTGATCGTTTTTTCTCCAATATCTCTTAAAGGTATTTAGTATTCTTTACGCGTTTAACAATATCCCAAACTAATATCTTTATGGCTAAATATCCTACTTTCTTTTTCCAATTCGGAGTTTATAAACGATAAATGTACAAAAACAAAATCCAATTTCAGTATTTCATTCTGAAAGGTCACTTAGACAGGCGGTCTAAATTAATTATGACACTTATTAATCAGAAATAGTATTTAACATCAAATCCAAATGCATGAACGCGCCCTGAGAAGAAGAAAGTTTTTCTCGAGAAAAATTAAATTTGGCGCTAAAATCATGAATAAAGCACCCTTTACTTTAATGAGTGGCGTCGTTGATTCTAATTCACTCGTTGTCGGCATGTTTTAACCAAATATATATGAACTCTCATCTGAAGAGCTCTGGCCTGGCCAATACCAAGATAACCAGTACCAAGGACGAATGTGGCGATCAACAGGGCAAGCACGCTGATGACCAATACGGAACGTGGAGACTCCTCAATATCTGTATAACGGAAAATTGATTGTGAAAAGAAATTGTAAACACTGATAGTGAAATTAAGACGCCCTCCAAGTGGTAAGTGATTTAGATCAATTGGCAATTCTGCCACGAAATGTGAAAACGTTATGTCTGTCACCGGGAGAACCGACACCAACTTTAATGTAACACTTGCTAGTGTCCATTATCGGCGTCATGCAAGGCTCCGATGATTATGGACTGCATGGAAAGCATTTTTTTTTTTTTTTTTTGCTTTAAGGATCATGATGAATGTATAATTTTTTTAACAAACTGCCCCTTTCTCTGTTTTCGATTCTGTTTTCCACAATGATCATGTTCATCAATATTGAAAAAATTATGATAATAGGCTATGGACTGCCTGGTTGGAGGACTCTGGAGTTGTCGCTAGTAAGACAGTCGACCTGAGAGGAACATTTTCATCCAACTCTATTTAGGGCATCGAGTTCGGAACAAAATTTTAGTTGTGTCAAAGTCTAGCAATTGCAAGTAAATTAAAGTGATTAGTCTTTTTGAGTATTCACGATGCAATAAAGATGCCTTTTATGACAAAGCATAAGATTATCAATATTTCCTTACTCTCTTAAAATGATTGAATCCCAAGCAAAAGATCCTCAGATTAGATGGAATAGATTGTCCCAATTAAAAGAAAAGCAAAGTTATAGAAATCATTAAGAACTGTTTGTTGATAGGGGGTTTAAAGGCCATCCAAAGACATACAAATATTAAGCGTGTTGGGAATGATCATTCAGGAGCGTTTTGGGAATCGCCGTTAAGTGTTGAAATTTCTTGGTTGACGATTTTAAGATCGCGAAACGTATAAACAATACAAGAGAATTACTTGGTCTTGGCTCTTTTTCTAGACATCAATGGAATTGTACAATGACGCCTTTTTACTCTTAGTAGGTCAGAAATTGTTTCGTTTGATATGTATTGACACCCCAAAGAAATATTAATTGTCAAATGTGTTAGTTGTGCCAAGTGATCTAGCTGGAGCCAATCAGCCTATCAATATTTCATCCTTCCTTCTTCTCTCAGATCTTGATTTTGACAGATTTCTACAAAGTCTTAAGCAAATTTGTTTATGGTGTGCAAAATTCAAATTTGATCATGCCACTGGAATATGCCACGATAAAAGCAGTCACTGTGACTTGACTGTCTGAACCTGTCTAGTGGAGGTAATCTAGACTACAGTCTTTTGAATATTCAACACATCACGTAAAGTTTTTATTTCTCATTACACCTACACATAAGACACACATAGTAAAAAAGGTAAGAAAAAAGCTCACCATTTTCATAGTAATTGCAAATCTATCAACTACAAATTTTTGTTACATATTATACTATATACCATAAAGCTGTACAGCAACGGAATCGCAATATGATTCTCGTGATGTACGGAATATCTACTTATTAGCAGGGATCAGATTACTGGTTGAAGAAATTATTCAAATGCAAATGAGCTGTTTGCATAAATTTAAAATACTGATTAAATCTTTAAAATTCACTTTGGATAGATTGCGCTTTTTCGTATCTTGCTCTGGTAGCCACAGAGTTGAGCCTGGACGACATGTTTCACTTTCTAGACAGTCAAGCAGTTATTGGCTCCTCCTGAAGAAGAAGAAGAACCCACTTTAAAACACATATGCTTTAAAGCTCGTTTTGTTTACCAGATATTATTTAAAGATCGTTTCAGCAATGTAGGTCATGACCCTCTAAACAACTCCCTTTATTCTTATACTTATTATAATCGGGCACTCCCCCCAAAAAAAAAACTGCGCATGGCAACACATAGTTACAATAGTGGACAACATTTGCTCTCCTCTATTTACCGTGGTCTCTCAGCGAGTTATCGCACAACTCCTGGAATTTTCCTGACTCCTTGATTTTCTCCAAGCCTTCATGGATCCACATCATGTCATTTTTCATGTCCTTCCTCACCATGACGCCGCCTTTACCGATGGTACAATCGTAGGTGGTTGGGAGTTTTTGGAGGTTTGCTAAGAGGCCGATGTCCTCGGGGGCGAATATAACGTCGATCTGATAAAATTTAACAATATACAGTATAGGGTTATTAGTTGCTCGCATGGTTTGTAGATAGTAACTAAAAGGGGTTCACACTCAAAGGAACGAATGGGTAAAGTATGTGAAATCGATTATCACAGATTTTCAATACATAGATCCATTTGAAGAAAACAATAAGATGAAGTTAAAGATATATTCGCCAATTCTACTTTTCCTAAAATTCTTGTGACAGGAAGTGATAAATCTATTTTTTTTGTGTGTGTATTCATGCAAACATTTTCCAATTCATGCCTTGCTTGTATGCAAAGTTTTAGTATTCAGTAATGAAGGTTTGAGTAATGAAAGTTTTTTAATGTTCATAATTCAAACTGCGCTTAAGGGGTATTACGAGATGCACGTTTATTCCACTGATACATTCAGTCCTCAACTTCAAGTATATTTTTCAAAATGCCTGGTCATGAAGGTCTTTTAATTACTTTCTAAGAGAATGCAGTTTTGTCAATTTTCGTGTAAAATTGACTGTTGCCTGGCGCCATATTATCCAAATCATGTAACTTAATTATAGATTTTGTTAATATTACAAAAGCATCAAACAACTAAACATAATGACTTGTTGCAAAAGAGGTCGCAATGTTTTTTCAATTTCTAAAAGCTTGGTAACAAGCTTGGAGAATATGAGATGATGTTGGAGCGACAGTAACGAAGGTTTAAAATTTAGTACGTTTTTTTTTGTGAGTAAGAAGAGATAAATCTAGTAATTATTTTTTCAGTTTAAGTTGCTAGATTGATGTAAGTTAAGCTCCACTTGGACGAACAGTGCTTTTAATAAACTTTCAAAAATGGATCTTTATAATGAAAATCAGTGTATACGCTCTACATGTATTTTGGGTGTAAGAAATCACCATTTTTCTAGCGTTTGACAATGAACGAATGTCTTGCGTTTGTCTACGCGTTAGCAATTTTCTTAAAACGTTGTTTGTATTACTTAACGCTAAAGAGTGACGACACCTTTAGAATGGCGGGAAGTCGTTGACATTTAGATATAATAGATTAGCCCACAGGTACCGAGTACATATCAGGCATATAAGTATATAGAGATCGATCAGTCAACATGCAGCTAGCTAAAAAAATTAAAACACCCGAGCTGCAATTCTGCTTAAGTCTGATAACATATACCCCCTGAAGCTATGAATTAAAACATAAACTCTAAATGTGGTCACTGGGCCTACCTCACTGGCGTTGAGCTTGGTGACCAGCTCGCTCCATGTTGGTGCAGATGTCTCATAAATGGCATCGGCGTCAAATGTGACCGAATTCCTGGTCAAACAGGTGGCGTCGGTGTAAAACAATTGGCGAAACCCTGGGAGGAAGTATACAAGTCCATTACGAAATGACCGAATGAGCCTCAGTACATGTAATGTACCTTCAGTATACGGTATCTGCATTGTTGTATTAAATATAAATATAATCTTAGTATTATTTAAAAGTATTTAAAAGTATTTGTTTTGTAATATGCATATAATAACTCTTATTATTGATTTAGTATTTGCAGTATGACTATTATCAAGTAATAAACGTGTATGTCGACCGCCTGCCTGTTTCACATTCTTTAAACCTTACTGCTGAGTAATACTGTAGAGTAAGGTCATATAATACTGTTCACTTATATATGTATACCATCTACTTTGAACCATAGGATCTGCTAAACAAACCTATTTAATGGGTCCTCGTATAGTACTGTAAAGTGAAAAGTGAATGAGCCAAATACAGTTATCTGCTAAAAAATCTTTGGACAAATATCATGCGCTTTTGGCTACACTGTGACAGTTGATCGCAATTTCTTTTTCATGAAATATTAAAACAAATAGGTGTACCTGTCTACTTCTGAGTAAAGAGTATTGTACTGAACTGTGACCCTACAAGGGTCATTGATATCTTACCTATCTTGGCGGTGGCAATGTCGACTGTTGCTCCAACTTTGGTGTAGAAAGCACCTTTCGGTGGTTCATACATGTTACCGACAAAAGCAAAAACATTGCTGCGTTCCACTGTCCTATAAAATCCAACACATCCGTCCACCTCGCGATTCTGAAGACCTAGATACGAAACAGAAATGGAAAGGTTTTTCAAAATCTAAAATATGTTACAAATGTTAGAAGTGCGCTTTCTACAGGTTTATTGTTTTATTCAGATCGAACCTGTAACAGACCATTTGTAGTCGTCTTCTAATTTGATATCAAAGAAACTGTCGGAGCATTTTACCCCATCAAAGACTGCTTTAATTGCACTGTTTGATAATTAACAGTATCAAAGTATCATTATTTATATGTGTTCATGGTTGACTCACCTTCCCCCGTTTTTTTAAGTGAATCCCAACAGGTTGGGGGGTTATAGCGTACTACGTGTGTACAGTTCTTCTTAGCTGCCTTGCAGACCTCAGTCATTAGGTCGCTGCTCAGGCCCTTCAAAAACCCGTTTCTGTCACTGCAAAAATGAAAAAAAAAAGATATGTATGTTTTGTCATGACAGGAATTTTATTTCGATCAACTATGCTATAAAATGTAAAAATAAAACTACCTCATCTGTTAAATTTTGTCTAAAAATTGCTTTTTGACTTCGTTTATTAAGCACTCTTTCAGAAGTACCCTAAATGAATTATACCTTTCTTAATACAAATAACGATAACTGATTATATATTATATATTTTACTTAATTTATTTTATAAAATCGATTGAAAGCCCTTGATATCTTACAGGTAATCTGTTGGCGGGTAGTTTATGCCATAAGAGAAAGTGTATGTGCGCTGTGTCACTGCCTGGTTTTCTATGTCGCTGCGTAGGGCCTCCACCATTGTCTTTATCTGTGTCGCTGCATCAGTGGCGGCTTGCTCAGCCAGCGTTGTTAACTGAGCCGTTGACGCACTCTGGGGGCTTTATAATGCAGGATAAAAATCATATAATGTTATAATAAGTAACGTAGCAATGACTCAACGTTGCGATTGCAGTGTCAGTGACAAGTTGGGCTGGTTACATGGTCTGCATTACATAATAAGATTTGGAATATCTTCAACTTTCATTTTGGCTTCCTTAGTTTTGAATTATTCAATTCAATAAGTTCTGGCCAAATTATATGAACACTCACCTGATGAGCTCTGGCCTGACCCATACTAAGACAACCAGTACCAAGGACGATGTGGCGATCAACAGGGCAAGCACGCTGATGGCAGTTGCAGATCGTGAAGACTCCCCCATATCTGTATAAAACAAGATAGTGAATAGAAAATAGGAACAACAATTGTGAAATTATGATAGTTTCTATGCGTTGAGTGGTTTATAGGCAAAATATATATCTAAATGTTCTCCTCGCCCGATTGTTGATAAGACCCCGCCCATTCCGTCCAATATATCCTCAGTGCTTTGACTCACTGGGGAATGTTGCTTGACAGTATTTATGGACATATATCACACCATTACCGCCCCCAGGAATAAAGGCAGACTTTTCATGGTAGAATGTCTCCCGGCATTCTCAATACGGGTTAATTACCCCACCCACACCCTGTTCCGACTGTCGTATGCAGCGCCATCTACGTGTAGCACGTCTCATTACACGCTTGGGACCAAAGTTATACGTCCACGAGATCAAATTGTTCTGAGATAAAAAAGGGTGAAGAAGCAAACATCAAAAGATGATACGCAAGCCAAATGCCGTGTTAAAAAATGTTATTTTGACAAAATGGTTGGTGCGTACACTCTGAAAAAGTCTGCAGATGGCCCTGCTCTCTTTGGGATTTAGGTAGTATTGCTATCATAACTGTAGAGGAGGTAAAGATGGCTGTTTGCTGTTCCCTCTCCTTATCCAACCTTTTGACTGGAAAAATCTAGCCCCAAATTTTATATCGCTAATGGAAAAAAAGAGAAATGACTTGCCATGCATCCGAAATTCATTTTCCAATGGCAAAAATTGACATTATTCATTATTCTACAACCCTTCTGGCCAAATGATTATGCTTTTATTCACCCGTATTCCCAAAGAAGAAGCAGTACGAGCAAAAGAAAAACATTATGATTGATCTAACCGTAACACAATGATTGATTGAAGTAAATTAATGATAAATAAAGCGGATGAAATTCTGAGGTTTATAGTAATGATAAATTTTGAATCGGGCCATGTGTATAACATAAACTGTTAACCGTCACTTAGGGCAAGGGTGGATATAATCCATGGCTTCGGCTTTCAGACAACCGGTGCCTCTATAACACACTCATCACAGGAATTAGAGTGTCGCATTATGATTTATAGACATAAGTATCTATGACAAAGGTCATTATGTTAGCTTTGAAATCCTTGTCATTTTAGACACCCTGGCCTCTGGACATGGGACACAGTAACTGACCAAGTGACAGGTTTCCATGGGCTAGGCTATCTTAGAACGGATGTGCATCTTCTTTTCCATGTGCACATAAACTGTGTTTACAGCAGTAATGCTGCTAGTGCAGTAAGCGCCCAGTTAACTCTATAGAATCAGGGCGACACATAGATATCTTTCCTTTTTTTAAAAAAATAATCTTCTTAATGTGTGACACAAGGTTATCTGGAAGGTAGCAAAGTAATTTTATTTTTTCGATTTTTAATATTTGTGCGAAAGCAGACTGCAACTCCTTTTTGAAATCAGTATTTCTGGTTGGCAGAAAGACATTTACACCTACATGTAAAGTGAATAGTGAAAATAACACTACAAAATTCTTGTCTGCAAGCACAAAATTGGTCTGAAGACACCAAAAAGTAACAACATATAAGATTTGAAATCAAGCAAAAGCTCCTTATAAATAAAATTTTGAGATAATAGAGCTAAATTTCAGAAATCTTACCATGGAGTATGAAGTAAGGAATCTGCATATAATGGCAGATTTTGTCTGTTGTCAAATACCTTACCTTCTTTTTCTTCCCTTCTTTTTCCTATGTTATTCTCTGCTGGAGTGTTTTGTGAATTGGAACCGTTTTTGCCGTTAAATCCTTCTTCACTCATTGATGTTCCTGGTGTAGCATTGAGCTAAGTGTGAGCAGTAAAATCGTCCTTTATATGTGTGTGCGTGCGTGTGGTGTGTTCAACTTATATACATGTAGACACTACATATATCTTCACAGAGGGCGCCACCGGTGCCATTTCCCTTGTCGATGCGAAACGCCCTTATAGTGGTTTAAAGGCATCTTGGTCCTAAAAATCGACAGTCCACAGTTCGTTTTAACCACCCTTTTCCCCTCCTGAGCATATAAAACGGACTTTAGGGGACTGCAACAGAGCAATACCTGTATGTTTCACTGTGCATTTGGTCCGAAGTGAGCTTGTGGAATGTATCCGGATTCGTTAACAGCACATATACATGTACAGACAACATTCTAATTGTTATATCACAGGGAATCCTAACACGAAATGTGAAACCGTTACGTTTGTCTCCAAAGAAGCACCGCCAATTTTAATGTGATTCGTGCAAGTGTCCATTACCAGTGTCATGTACTGGGACTTTATGAAGGCTCCGATGTCAGCGATAATCATGAGCTGCATGAAAACCGTTTCATTTGTGACTTTAAAGACCCGTGCTGATTTAAGATACATCTACAGTAGTCATTTGCCGGAATTAAAATGAGAAAATGGGTCTTTTTCTTTCTTTTTTTTCAGTCTTTTTCCACAATGTGATCATGCTCATCGATATCGTAAAAAATTAGTACTAGGCCTACTAGTGTCCCACCTTAAAGACTTTGCCCTCTGCTGTACCCCTGTAAAGGAAAAAAGGGTCCTAAAACCCTGTGTAGCATCTCTTGTAACTTCGGGGTATGCCACATAGCAATGCTTACCTTTAATGCTACCTTTGGAGGCCCAGGATTTTCACTGTCGCGGTGTTCGCTGGCAGGGCACGGTGACACAAAGGGTTGGCCTTGAGTAGGGTCAATTTTTTGTTCATTCAGCTTTTACTCCCTGTGTACAGAGGTCGCAGGCATGACTGTTCACTTTGGGCACAAACTAATTTGTTATACACGTTTTTATATTATTTGATTTTTGTGCACAAAGATATAATTTTAATCATCTTTGATTACTAGAATAATCATTGATATAAAACATTCTTCATAATCTTAAACAGAAATGTCTTTGCTTTCCAGAGTTTATCGTGGGACTTGATAATTTTCTTCTGTCATTTCTAAACAACCGTACGTTTTGCATCATCATACAACCTCAATCCTTTTTTTCGCTTTTGAAAGATTCTAGATATTAGATGTAGAAAAATTAGCCCTGTCATCTGCACTAGAGGGTAATTAGCCTGCACACACGGCCCATAGCGTGCAGAGTACAATATTGGTGTCCACGTAACACCACCACGCCCATATGCCTCACAATCAGGCGGTACAGTGTAGTTAGCTTACTAATGTCTCGGATGACACGTCGGCGTGGATGCGTATGGGCTCATTCTCATCGAAGCTATCGGTCTTTGTAGATCAATCTAGCTCTGCGGGGACTATCGCTGAATGCAATCAGTTTAATTGTTTAACACGCTTCCTCTTGTTTCCATTGTACTCGTATAATCAACCACTTCTCTATATTCTTTTCAACGCCAGAGGAGGTGTATTTATCTGTTAAACTAATTGCATTCAGCGATAGTCTCCGAGAATTCAGAGCGATCTACGTAGACCGGCAGCTTCAATTGGAATCAACCCTATGTCTTAACAGGTGGTCTACAAATCATCATGCAACACGTATCCAGACACAATGAAGTCCACGTAACCCAACACCGCTGTGTGGGGGGTCCCGGGAAGTAGCCAGAGGCAGTGCAAATATTTACAGAGATAATCCACGACAAAAATTATATGAATGGGAAATATATACACAGGGGTGCACACCTTTACTGTAACCTTGCTTGTTTCACCAATAACTGAAGAGGGAAATCGTTCTCTGTTCCAAAGTTTTTTGTTTAATTACATGTGTGTAAAATGTCTATTATTGTCAGGACGGGGATGCGATATACCTTTAAGTCTTGTTCAAGAACGAAAATTTTCACAATCCTAATTCTATAAAATCTCACCTTGCAATCACGATCACTTGCAAAGGTAAAATGCAAGACCATGTCTTGTCAAGTTAACGAGCAAATTACTTATTTTATTAAGATGAAAATTAAATCATATCTATATTAATGTTTAAAATAACATAAAACGACTTACCAATGATCGTATTTTTTGCTGCTTAAAATCGGTAATCGACAAAACACCTTTGTTATCACATTGTGCACTCTGACGAATTTAGGGTGTCAAGAAAGGGGAGTGCTTATCCCCCTCTCTGTCCCCGCATTTCTCCCCCCTTTTGAAAATACTAGGTAATTCTACGCATTGCATAATGTTGGGCACCACCATAAGCTTTTTAGCCTAGATTACATTTGCCGCGGGTGCCATACGATGAAATCATATACTATTTTCCTTAGGATTTTTGTTTTTTTACAATGTAAGTGGTTAAGGACTATGTATGGCAAATGTAATCTAGGCTTTGCAATAGTATGTGTAGCTATAAAAGTAAAGTAGGATAAAACGTCTGCCGCTTTTTAAAGTTGAGTACCCAGACCGAATCAAAAGAATAATAAAAAATTATTCTGTGTAAAAATCGCTTTATATGTGTCCTGTTGATAAACATTTTTATTCCTCCTAAGTGAAAACTAAATATATTGATAGAAAAAGGACAAGAACTCCTACATGCATCAAGTTAATTAACTAAAAGTGCAAAAAAATTAACACTTCAAAAGAAACACTTCAGGATTTTCGTTGATAAAAAGACATATGCCGGATAATTGTAGCATCAAACAGAATTCGAAGTTGGTGTAGACTCCATTTGCCTTCCAAATTATTTGTTCTTGAAAAGAATAGTTTGAGGCTGGGTGTACACAGGATTAGCCCGCCACGCAAATACCGGCCTTGCCTAAAATAGGAGAAAGTGGTGTTATAAAATCTGGATGATAATGATGAAGAATTATCTATAAACAATTATCAACTAACAAGCTACATTTCATTTAGCTTAAGGATATTGTACGCGTTTGCAAAAAACTCCTTATTTACTGCCTTACATACATTCTTTTAGATAACAGATAAACCTTCAGTGTTCAGTGAATAAACTGATAAACATTTACACACATGTCATCTTACGGGCAACGTCATAATCACGATTTGGGGATGAAAACGGAAAAACGGTTTCTCAAAATTTTCCTTTACCTGAGCGCCCACAAACACTATTTTAACGCCAATTTTAAGACACCATTTAGTAAAAAACCCCGCCATCTATTTTTCTTAAAAGCCTTAGTTCACATTTTATGGTTGATAAACCCAAATTATGCCTTTGTTTAATGAAAACCTGTAATATGGGGCTCATAACTCCATATTAAATCATTTAAACCAAAATGAAGGCACGGGATTGTAAACCATACAATTGTGGTCAACTATGCCAATTCCTGCGATAAAATCTTGTACAGGGATGAAACTACACCACATACCGATTGCTATCTCACTTCAAAATAGCAAAGTGTTAAATAAAAGCTGTATGTTGCCTATGCTTATACATAGAAACGAGTAAACATAAACGCCGATATTTTATATTTTCGAGGGGAACTTTATTGTTGTAAATCAGCACAAAGGTATATGCATTATTGAATGATTAGGAGCAGGAAAAACCTCTTTTTTGGTATCTGGATGATAATAAAACTTTAAAATACCCTTAACGTTTCTATAGTTTTCAAGTCCATGTACAATCAATGTAAGGTCTGCACGACAGCTCTTAATAAACTAAGCTAAATAAAATGAATAAATAAAAGAGCATACATCTTATTCTTATTATTACAATTGTAAAAATACGCCACTGATATTTCGTTACAACTAATAAAAGGGCATACACTAGTTTCGCGCCTTAGGATTGTGAAGAGAAGACTCACCGTGGTCTCTGAGCGCGTTTCCACAGATTTCAGAAAACTTTCCAGACGTCTTCATTTTCTCAACAGCATCGTGAAACCACATCATGGAGTTTTTGATGTCTTTTCTCATCATTAGACCCGCGCTTCCCAGGGTGCAGACATACTTCGTGTCCAACACCACGAGGTCAGAGAAGGTGTTGACAGGGGCGAAGATAAGGTCAATCTGAAGTCAAAATATGAATTCATGTAAAATGATATACATGTATATAGTGGTTAGTCTAGGGACCTGTACGATAGCACTTAATTATTTCTATCTAAATATTGCCATGTGGCATGTGTTATGTAGAATAAAATATTGATGTGTCTGAATTCACGAATGTATGAATGCATGTATGAGTCAAAACATTTTATGAAAATTATTTTCACTGAATCAAGATTATGAGCTAATTGGGAAGGGCTGAGGAGCTTTTCATACAAAAAAAAAAATTACTCATACCTCAGTATTATTAAGCTTGTTTCTTAATTCTGTGAAAGTCGAGCCAGTGACTCGGTTGGCTTCTGGCACGTCAATGCTATTCCTGGCCAGACAAGCAGCATCCGTATTCCAACCCTCGCGAAAGCCTTGAAAGAGAACATATCAAATAACAATTACACCAAACGTATTGCCAGGAATTACACCTTTAAACCTAGAACACAAGGGAAAGGAAGAGTTAATTATATGTGACAAGATTGGTTCACTATGAGAGCATTCACATCGAGAAGAGCCGGGGTTTAGCAAGGCCAAGACATAAATATGGCGGACCTACATGAAAGGGAGACCGCGTGATCCTTTATAATGGATTAAAGGATTACGCGGTCTTTCTTTCACGTAGGTCCGCCATATTTAGGTCTCGGCCTTGCTAAACCCCGGCTCTTCTCGATGTGAATGCTCTCTGTGTGACGAAAATGCAACAGCTATTTTGTAAGATGTGTTGGTACTGGTTCATGTTTCTGGTCCTATAAAACGCGTCTCAAAATTTGATCACTGTTCATACGAGTACAGGAAGGGCAGCTAAAAAAACGCTGTCAAGGTGTTTTGTCAACTTTTGAAAATTATTAATTCTCAATACAGACGCTTACCGACGTTCCTCCCGGTGACAGAGGTAACTCGACTGCCGGGCCTGACGTACAGCGCCGCTTGTTCAGGAGCGTATAAACTACCAACAAAGTCGAAGGCATTCAGCCGTTCAGGAGTAGGGTACCAACCAACGCATGCAGTGTACCAACGGTTGACAAGTCCTGGGAAGAGCAGAAAAAAGTGTAAAAACAGTAATTAATCCTTAAGTTTATCAAGATTCATTGCCAGTGTTTGATACCATTTCTATAATAGTATATAAATCATCTGGGCATCCAATTACTTAAGGATACACAGTGGGCATTATACATTTATACAGCCAAAAAAAAAATTAATAAAATAAATAAAAACTTAATTACTAAGATACCAGCACTAGTCCACCATATCCAATCCGTTAACGAGCTTTAAACCCTTTTTTTACTTATTTATAGGATTTTGTTTTGCCATTTGAAGATTTTCAGAATCCATGTTACCTGCCCCGGTCTTTTTGCTGGTATCCCAACACTGAGATATATCATTGCTGAGTACATGGCTGCAGTTTTTCTCAGCAACTTTACACGCTTCTTTTACAAGGTCCATACTTAAGCCTTTTAGGAAGCCTTGGGAATCACTGAATAAGAAAGCAAAGTTTATAAACACGTGTAGTTAAACAATATCAACGCAAACTGATATTAGATTAATTTGATGAGATAAATAAAGTTGATCTTTTTGATGAAACAAATATCAAGAATAAAACAAGAGCAATTGCACGAAATTTTGTTCAGTTAATAGTCTTTTCACGATCGAAGACTTCTTTTGTCTCTGAAAGGTGGTTTTTCAAGCTTTTTAAAATGCCCGACCTCACATAATTATGACATGCATAATGACTAGGTAAATTGCTACATCTTCATGTGACACTCATAGACACGATAGGATACAAATGTTGTAAGTTTAAACTTACTGGAAACAGTAAAACTTACAGGTAATCCATAGGTGGCCAGTCATTACTATAAGCAAATGTATGGGTTTGCTGCGACTTTGCTTGATTCTTCATTTCCTCTTTGATGGAGTCCACCATTGTTTTGATTTGTGCCGCGGCTTCAGTGGCACTCTGTTTTGCTATCGCTTCACTGTCTTTGGCAGTTGCTGGCGGACTGTAATTTGTAAGAAGAGCAAATCATCATATAACACGATTTAAAGAAATTTAGTTCAGTATTATGTCTAAGGATTATTTTATGGAATAATTCATTCCAATACGAATGTCTCAACCACGTACATGTAGATGAAAAGACGATGCAATGAGCACAGCGGTCAATGCGAGACAATATTTTGTTTTAATTATACGGTCTCCAAATTCAATTGAATATAAGTTTATAGGCCATCAAAGTTCTCACCTTTAAGATTCTAAAATGTTATGAGGGGACGCCACCTACCTGACCAATTCAGGACGAATCCAAACCAACAAAACTAGGACACATGCCACAACGGCAATAAGCAGGGCGAGGACGGCTATGGCTATGGCTGTACGTGACATGCTGCCCTCTCCTTTTTCTTCTACAATAACAAATCAAAGTAAGATCTTTTGAAGGTGAATTTTGGTCAGAATAAAACAATACTTCTTATTGGAAAGTGTTTCAAACTCATGTTAAAACGAATAACAAATATAAAATGGTATATTTTGCACGGAGGATCTGTTTGACGAGACTTAAGACATAGCACAAACATACATGTATACAATTTAATGATAGAACGCACTTTTGAATACAGAACAGTTGGTATAATCATTTATGCTGATATTATGCTTTGGTGTAAAAGCACCAAAAACCCAATTAATTTGGTTTTTAGAATGGAATGCGCCTCGCCTAGAATTATGGGCAGTTATATTGGCACAGCCCAGGGGTACAGTAACTGACACCTAGGTGTTCATGACCCCATGATATCTCTCATCCACTTGTACATTGACACCTTAATAACGCCAGTGCCACTGAGAGATGGCACCTGAAAGTAATAATTATTTATTTCAAAACCACCGTCGGGCTGATTTCATTTCTTTCTTCTTTATTGTTTATGCTTTAAAATGTCAAATGTCAATAAAAAAATCTATTATATATATTTTAGATAGACGCGATACACACAAACGCGCAATGTCTCACCAACGAACGTATCTTGGTAAAACATCGTTCACAATAATTAAAATGACGCAGCGTAGGGCGTGTCATGTAGCTCTAGTCAAAATTTACCTGTGCTGATGCCCTTAGGTATGGAGTACATATAATAAGCATACTTAGGCCTCAGGGACCACGCCCGTGATTAAGGAACGGGGTGGGCGAAAGTCTACATGTGATGGATACTATATTAATGTGGCTAAGAGAGATTAACGCCGGCGCCAGGGTCTCAGACCGCCGTGAGAAAACGGGATGAAATATTTTGAAACTGAATCGTTAGATGATGTTATTTTCAAAATGAATCAGAATGGAAATTATGAGAGAGAGAGTGAGAGAGAGATTATGTAAACAAATAACATCATGCTGTTAAATCAAACAAACTTATGCGGCTAAAAAAGTAATGCAATCTAATCATCGAATTAAAAAAATCGTTCTAAAGCACAATCTATACACAAAGAAACTACAAATACCTTTAGTCATCTGCTGTTGGTCGGTGTGGGTGTGACTGGACTGTTTCTCGTTCAGAATAACCCCTTCTGGATCGTCGCTCATAACGCACCAGCCGGGACTTCTCTATGGAAGTGTTGTGTGCGGTGTCTATTATATATACACATATTTATATTCACTCGATCGGAACATTGGTATATCAACACCTCCTACTTAATTCATAAGAATTGTATGCCTTTATATTTATGACATAACCCCGGGCCAGTGGGAGTTGACAAAAGCTAGGTCTAGCCTTAGACATGCAATTTCATATTTGTGCACTAGATTGCCCTCCTGTTACATGTAAGTCTTTAGAACCGTATGAGCATATTATAGGAAGTAATTCAGTTTATTATCATGAACCTTTTAAAAAAGCGATTTTCATTTATTTTATTTCTCCCTCTAAATACAAGTATTTATAGCTCTGATTATAAGTTTTTGTCCTGAGAATTGTTTATTGAAATTAATGCAATAAAAATGCTAGCATTATTTGGATAAAGGAGTTAGTCTAACATTATGCAATAAGTTTTGACCGACCACTCTCTACCCTCAGTGAAAACATAGAACATGTAAGAGATTGGAAATTGTTTCAAAGTCAAATCACTGAAACTGGGTGCTAAATTTGCTTCAGAATGTATAGATATATATTAAACAGAACATATGGAGTAGCAATTTGCATTTAGGGACTTTTTTTCTTCGTTCATATTTGTAAGCGTGGCGGACGCTGTCGTATCAGTGTAGAAATCGCTCTGCAATGCGCTTGCTGTGACACATTTGTTAAAATTATTTTGGGGGTGGTATCGTGCACAACAAACACAATGACGTCGGTTCAAACATGAGCTATCTAAGTATACGATGTAATTGTATACTAAGATCGCTCATGTTAGTATTATCAATGTTAATATCTAAATTTCAGTAAAATAATTTTGGCATTTTTTTTTTCAACTGGCGTTGGTTTTCCCTTGGCATCACGACCTGTTTCAATGTGCAGATTGTGACTGTTGATTCTAAATCTGGTTAAGGTTTGAAGTTTTTCTTTAACTTTCTCGAAATTGAGTTAAAAAATTTCATACGTTCTCACTTTGAAATTTTCTTGTGATTTCACTGTGCCAAAGTTGTATACTACTGTCTCTAAGCCTAACACTAAATTTTTATGAAGTTTTTGTTTTCTTTCTGTTAAAGCCATACATGTGACAAATATATTATCTTCAAATACTTTCTTTACTCCTTCACTCCACGACATACTATGGCTTGTGTTATGAAGGCTAATGCTTGAAAGAAGATGAAACTCATCAAAGTGTTTTAATTCGTCTAGGTATGCCAGAATAAGTAGGATCCCATCATCACAGTGCAAAATTTTGACTCAGTATTTAATTACATGTATTTGAATTTTTGTGTAGCTTGGCAGGCGCCCAAGTTTCGCCCGAACAGCATAACTACAACATTTTGAGTTCACCCAATTGCTCCTGGCAAAATTGGAGATGTATTTTTTTTCTATTTTCGATTTATCGTTAAATCTAGGACTTATAACAGATCTGTTATAACTCCTTGGTTAAATATAGTGGAACTCCATACTTTAGCTCCATATGCAGCGGCTGGGAAAAATCATTGTGTCAAAAAGATTTTATTTTAAGGATGTAGGTACGGTAATAGCTGGAGGCTGAGACTGAAGAAGGCTTTTGTGCTTTGTCGTGTAAATTTTGTTGTGCAGGGGTTAGCGCACACGACCCATACTGTAAATTACTCCACACACTTGGTTCAACAGTCTAACTTCTCTAGCCTGCCGAAAGTATTTGGAAATCAAAAAAATAGATTTTCAGTCTTTATACCTTCTGGGTCCTCAAAAGGTAGTTGATCTAAGAAAAAAATGGAAAAGTATATAGAAAAATTTTCATATGAATAGAAAAGAACATTTGTCATAGGCTAAGCCTACTACATGTAAGATTCTTTTATTAAAAAATTTCTACATGTATTTTTAATCACTATTTCCCAGTGTGTGAATGGTGTTGGAAGGTGTCTTTGTCCCTCATTGTGTTGTAAATGTCCTGTATTAATTTTCGTGAAAAAAACTTCTCTAAGACTTATTTAAAACTGGACTAGGGTTTATTTGCGTCCAGTGCTAAATCCAATTTAGCATGATTTGTTTCAAGATTTAACTAGCTATATTAAAGCAGGACTAAGGGTCAGGCGTGTGGATAAAAAAATCTATATTTGAAAATTAATCAAATATCAATTCAAATTCGGTTTAATTCAGCTTATTTCTTATATCCCTCAGACCAGTACATTTTTGTCTTCGATCTCGCACCATACCACTTTTCTGCAAATTTTAAAGAATTGGCTTTTATCTATCCGAAGACTTAACCTTAATATCTTTTAATTATTTAATGCACCTGCTAAAACCGTGTCATAAGGAAAAGACATCACTGAGTCATTCGACCTACGATTACACGAGGGAGGGACCTAGCTAAAACGTCACTTCTAATATACCTTTTTAGTCTTTGCTGTTTAGAAAAGAGAAAATAGAGAAGACGAAATTTTCTTACATAGGTAGACCCTTACATTTAACGTAGAGTGTTGGATCTGACGAGATGAGTTACGTGATTGCACTACTCCTGGGTTGCTGGGCACTGGTAGGAACGCTGGACGCCGCCATGACCCAACAGTGTATACGAGGGGGGCAACTGGTAAAATCATATGATAGTGACTGCGAATTTAAAAATCTAAAACTCTCGTCATTTTTATATATAATTAATCATAATAATAGACTTTATGCACGTTTATGCGAGAGGGAAAATTAATGGACACGAATTTATTGTACTTGAAAAAAAACATCGATTGTTGCATTTTGCAACATGTTTAAATTTATTATTTTTCCATATAAATGCCCATTTCTTCATTAACATTAACTCATTTCGATTTTCCTCTAGTGTTGGTCTAACGCAAGATGTTGTTCAAAGTACTGTCACAGAGAAACCTACGGCGTCTACAGATGTGTCCATGGCAACGGGTGTGCAGCTGATGGTGAAAAGGTAGGATTAAAAGTCAAATATGCGTCTAAACAACAAGCACCGAGTGCCGTTGATTTGTAATACCCATGCTCGTTCTTTTGACACTGCATATTGCTTTAAGTAACCTAGTACTATATTTTATTATAGTGTTCGTGGAACTCCCACTGTTGCTCCGGCTACTGTCACCGCGTGCGTTACGGAGTATACAGATGTGCGGCTCCTGAGGCCGGGGAAGACCGCTGCTTTACTGTAGATAGTCCTGTGAGTGGACACGCTAACAAGTCAATGTGAACTTGACATAAATAATTTGAAGAAATGTTCTTATCAGATTAGCAGGGTGGCGTTCATAATAAAGAACGGTCCACCGTGGGCCAAATTTCAGAACAAACTAGTCTATAATGTATTTGTCTCATTTTTATTTTAATGTATACACTTTTATATTTAGTTCATCTGTACTAAACCTTGAAACATAGAGGGACGGAGGAGACATAATTTTAAACGGTTTCAATTTCATTCCTTAAGGATACATTGATGTTTTTTTCCTGTTTTAAGTGCACTTTTGACGTCCAGTGCTGTTCACGCTTCTGCTACAAACATCCAGGACGTTTTACATACAAGTGCCTGTAAATAATTTTGTAAGTTTATTCTTATAAATGTATATTTATATACATTTTTACAAATAGATCATATATGAATATATATTTATTTACATCAGTATGCCGTTATGTTGGGATGCATTAATGTGTTGGGCGATAATACATTCATTATACTTAATTAGTTCGAGTTCTGATTCTTTCATCTTTCATCTCGAACCCCATCATTGGTCTGTAAAAAACTACACGCCTTTTGTGCTGGGATTAACAAGTCTGACATAATTACTATTTTGAATTTCTTTTTTCGTTTTCTGGAATTTGTACGTAAAGTGTGAGCTTTGGTGAGGCGTCTTCAGTATAATGATATCCTACAATTACATTGTTTCAGGTCTTCGGAAGTTTTCCTTACTGGATCCTTAACACAGAAGAAAAGTGGATGATTTTATTTAAATATCAAGCAAGACCATAATTGTCTTAATATGCATGTAATAGAGATTTTCGTTGGACGAGAAATTAAATATATATATATATGATAAGAGCTACATGTAGTTCTTTGCCCGTCAACTAGGAGTTTACGCGCCATGTATTCTCGCCAATATAGGATTGGAGTAGTCTTTAGATTTTTCTTGCACGCTACATGTATCTCGTGTTAAGTGCGTTATACGCAGTTTAAAGATCAAGGCTGGTTTGATTTATATAAAAAAGTGATCGCTGAAGGTTTCTGGTAATTAAAGTGGAGTTGATAAAATAGAAAGAAACAGCTGGTTTGATACAAAAGAAAATTTTAATAAAAATAAATAATTAGGAGATCACAAAAAATCAATATTTTAAACAAGCTTTAGGCTGAAATTTAAAAAAATATGTCACCTGTAAAACGTACACCTTAAACTTAAGAGACCAGTCTTAAAAGATCAGTCCATGCACAAAGTAGTCCACAGTAAGGACGCAGCATGCTTGTACCACTGTGGTTTGAAATGTACGCCATCTCCATTCCAGTCATTTCGATCTACAGACATAGAAAACATATCGTACATCGGGTACAGATTTGGCACCTTGCGCTCCACTATTGACCGATGAATCACAGCCGCTGCTATTTTGTTGAGTTCATCTATAAAAATATTTCGACCTTCAGTCTTCCATGCTTCTGGCTGTGGTGGAGTCACCTTGGGTGCATTCACATAGAGAATCTTGGTAGTCTTGGGCACCACGGTTGTTATAAGATCGACGAACCACGTAAAATCTCGCTCAAAATTCCTGGCGTTTCTCTTCACAGCTTCGTGGACATGAGTTGCAAACACGATGATCACATCTGGGTAGCCGTCAAGGCACCAGTACTCTTGAAATATCACCTCTTGCGTGGTACTAGACTCTAGACACGGAATGCCAGTTTTATTCGTAAGCCGATCGTCACAATTTTTGTAAACCGAACTTCTCCGTGTGATTAGTTCACTGTCCTTAACGTTTTCCGTAATCATGTTTTCGATCTTAATCACGGAATTTTTCGAACTCCCAAACGTACAAGTGGCCTGTAAACCGGCGCAACCTAAACAGTCACGTGTGGTAGCTCGCAAATCATTAGCTGCAATTGGTGGAGAAAAGAAATTAATGGACGGTGATCTGTTCCCGCCATTTTCGGCTTTCGTTTTCTTACACTGAAACGCACCTTCTCCTGTTCTTATCATTGCAGCATACCTCATGGACTGAGAGTCACCAAGGATTCCAATTTTTTCTATCTTCTTTGCTGTAAGACATTGAGCCAGCCGTTCAGCGTTCACTCGTTCAGGCACTTGACAACTTCTCGGTTCCCACTGGCCCTTGACCCACTGCCCTTCTCCAAAAAACCGCCCCTTTTCTGCCAAGTAGTTTTGAAGATACAATAAGGAACAATTTCGAGTCTTTGAAACATGCTTGGTTATTTCCTTGGAGGTTTTGGTGGCAGTGTTGGCAGTGATGGTGCCTGGTGGTCTGGTCCTAACATCTGTATTGAACGTAACAAACTCAGGTTTAAATATACTGTGTGGTGATTGAGTTCTAACATCTATATTGATCCCAACAAATTCAGGCGCCGTCCTTTGAATGCTGTTACCGCGAAAAGTTAACATCAAGATGAAAACGAGCATTATGGAAGCTACAATGAAGAAGGAGCATTTTGGAAATGGCAGCTTGTCTTGGGACTGCATGGTAGCGTCTATATCTGAAACGAGAATATCAAATTTACTACTCTTCTGTTCCAACGAATATGTTCCATATATAAAACTTATAAAGAACTATTAAAACGGAAAAATACCTGTACGATCCCAGAGGGGGTAGCAACTCTTCATATGGATTCAAAATTCCACAATTCATACGGGCACATTGTAAACAACACATAGTAATATAATAAACTCCCTTTTACCACCTACAGGGGGTTATCGCAATTATTCTGAAAATCTATGCTTGTCATCAGACCTCGTGGACCTTCATGTATGGCTACCCTCTCTCATGATTTCTTAAGAGATTATTACAAAAATACAATTAAAAAAATCGACTATATTGTAATTTTTAATGTCGGAAGGGTTTAATTATCCATCGGCAAAAATGGGAAATCGTCCTTTACCCCGAAAAAATCCGTTTTATGGCACTTTTCCCGCCAAAATGAAGAGCTCTTATCTCTGTAAACTGAAGTAAATATCCTTTTAAATCTCATTTAAATATGACAACCTTAATGCCACTTGATGCACAACATGTTCATTTTATATAGAATTATCTCTTTCGTGTATATTAATACATTTTTCAGCTTCGTTTATACGTAGCGGCTTATTTAAGTTATTATCTCAGAACTTCAATCATTATAATATAATATTAATAAAGGTTGAAGTGATACCAACCTGAAGGATCATGTGCTGTATACTGCCAACAATGCCGCTTATCTCAATGTGTTACAGAAAGGTAAATGAATAATCTTTGCCCTTGACTGGCTCTTACAGCAGCAAGGGCGTCCCTTGAAAATAATACACAAGTTGTTAAGTGCCAATATTTGGCACAGAAATATCGATCAGGCGTCAACAGCATTACATAAGTTTGTTTACTGCAATATTTGTCCACTGGGTTAAGTGTTCCACGAATAATGAGGGGAAATCTATTTGTGTGTACCTGTTGCTAACACTAGAAACATTGTTCAAGGCAAGGAAAACCTGTGTGACTGATATTGATATTCTGAGTCAGTCAAAGATTGCCAAGATGACAATTATAAGCCTCAAGGAAAATATTCCACCTTTAAGTAAATTTTAGGTGAACTTACCTGAGCCGTAAAAAATGTCTGTGTCATGGAGGAACTCCTCGAATTGATTGGATGTTTCGGGTCGATGCACGCATACATGTGTTACGTGGTTTAAACACAAGGGGTTTGTTGGTGCTCACCAGACTGTAGCATAAATATTTCAGCTTTCTTTCTACTTGTCACACATTAAATCATTATGAATTGCATGTGTAAAGAAACAAGTTTGGACCACGCCTTGTCTGAATGGTTTATAATGTAGTATGCATGTTGGGGTAGGACAGAGATAACGTGGTCCATTACAAGACTTTAGGCGTGACAACAGTGCAGTTTTATTTGAAACCAATAATATTTCAAAATAATAATTTCACTTGAATTCGTCGGTAAGCAGGAAGGATAACATATTTGATCATAAGTGTATTTTACCAATTTTTTTTTCTATAAAAATGCTGGCCATTGAATATTATACAGATGTTGGAAACGTCTTCAACTGTCTCAAAATTATCGTTAGAGTTTAAAACAAAAAAAAAGCATATAAACCACAATTAACTAGGTCATTCTACTAACATTCAGGTTGCCAACCTCCTGTTATCTACACGGATTACATCCACATTATTTCAAAGTCGTTATTAATATAAAACACCTACATTTGAGTGCTCGCGGCTATATGGTGTAACATACTAATCTTCTGGTGACATACCTGCATCCAGCTGGTTAGATACACAGAGAGGTGATGACCCTCTCTTGAATAACCATAATTTACAAGGCGATTATATATAATTCATACAACTCTGATAATTGGAGTATACATCACCCTTAGTCCTGTAGCTTCAGTGGTATCTACCGTCTACTGGAAATTTTTTAGTTGTATACTTTTACCGTGTACATATTCCATTTTAAACATTTTCCCTTATTACCCCGAGAAAAATGTTTTTTTTTTTCAAATTGAAAGTTAAATCGTTTTGTACAGAAAAGACTATTAAATTTGTTTGTAGTTTCACAGAAAAAAAACGCTCAAGTATTTGCAATCATTGCTAACTACAGGAATAGTATATGGACAGTATAAATTTAACACTGTAGTGCAGTGGCGGATTTAGAGGGTGATTTCTGTTCCCCTCTTGAAATTAGAATTTTGACTAGCTGAATCATAGTTCTAAACCGTACCAAATGGCACCGTTCGCCCTCTAAAATACCAAAAATTTCCGGGGCCCTTCAGGGGGCCCCGACCTTCAGGGGGCCCCAAACCCCACGCCAAGTGTGTGTGTGTGTGTGTTGGGGGAAGGGGGGGGAGGGGGGAGGGTCGGCTTCACATCCGAGGACCCCCCCCCCCTTCAAATAATCCTGGATCCGCCCCTGTAGTGTTACTTTTTTAACTAGACATTTCATGACACATAATTCAAATCAAACCACTATAATGTGTATTGCTTGTGGGTCACATAGAGATCTCAGTAAATGCTGGACTCCACGATTTATTGGCTTAAAGTGCAAAACCTTTCAACAAAGTCCAAGGATACCTCTACCAGGAACACAGATTGATTTTTTCCACTATATATTCACAGATATTATGTCTCTGGATAATTAAGGACATGATTCTCTGCTGTGAGAAAAGTGAACATAATTAATCTGCGACCCTGGATGAGGGTACTCAGTGGAGTTTCAACACATGCCGGAGGTAAACTAGCAAACAATACGGGCAGCCTAAGTAAAGAGCATATTATGAAAAACCAGCCTGGGCCCCATGCATAAGTATATATACAAATATCTTCATCTTCTACCCAACAATGTTTGCTAAGTACACTCATGGTCAAAAGGGTAGTACCACCATTAGTCCTATGCGCTCTTGTAAACAAATGATCATATGCGGGTATTAACCTTTGCTTTTATTCCATATTTAACATGCCTAAGGGTTAAGAAAACCCAACATACATTGTACCGGTGCAGATATCCGTTTTTATGCGATTTATTCAAATTAACAATGGACCCCCTCAAATATGATTCTCCACAATGATTTCCATAGAAGTAAAAATGAGTAGTACAGCCTTTTAACCAAGAATGTATTATCCGTATTGTTAATATCTACTTCTATCGATACCCTGTATGTGGAACTGCACATTGCATTCTCTTCCTTCTCATTTTTTTCATACGCTATTAAAAATTGGAGGGACATTCTTCTATGTATGTATGTAATTTCATGTATGTTTATCTCTGCACAATTTTATCAACTCAATCTGAGATGGCACCCTGAGCTTCAGAGATAACTTGCCACTAACCTCTTCACTATAGCCTATCTTCATCGTGTCAAGGTGGAGATGGCCATGGCACGCCAAACAATGCCGAGGTCGGCTCTTTAAAAACCACTGCACCGATAGTAAGTCATATTGTGTAAAAACTCGCCGAGAGAACGGGTGGAAGAGACACCCCACTGATATTCATCCGATAGATAACACCTAATAAATACGTTTATTATTATTATTATTATTTTAAATGGTTAATCTGCACATAAAGTTGTCCAAAACAGCGTGATAATTTGGTTGTACCACGGACCCGAGAAGTGAACTCCATCTACAATCCACTTCATGACGTCCCTAGATATTCCATATAAGTCAAACATCGGGTATAAATTATTTACCTTTTTCTCAATGATGAATTTTTTTATCACAGATGCGCTTACTGCATTTAATTGGCTGATGTATGTATTGGCAGTGATATTTCTCCAAAAGACTGGTTGTTTGGCAGAATTAACCTGCGGGGAGTTCCAGTATAAAATCTTTGTTGTTTTTGGCACCACAGAAACGACAAGGTCTATAAACCAAGTGAAATCACGTCTAAAATCACTTGGCCGTCGCTTTTGTGCCTCGTGGGCGTGAACAGCATATATAATGATTACATCTGGGTATCCAGAAAGAGCCCAGTATTCACGGAAATACACCTCTTGCGTTGTCATCGACTCTTGACAAAATATTCCACTAATATTCTTCAGCCTGTCGTCGCACTCATGTTTCCAGGCATTTCTTTTTGTAGATATTTCATGGTCTTTAGTATATTCCGTAATTAACACTTCAATGTCAGTCGTTTCTGTGCTACCTTGAGGTGTACAGCGAACAAGCTGTCCGGCACACCCGCTACAGTCCCTGCTGGCTACTCGTATGGACTTGGGGTCAAGAGGAGGGCTGAAGTAACTTGGAGCTGGTGATCTTGACATCGTGCTTTCACTTTTTAACAATTTACACGAATAAGCATTTTCACCCCGTTTTATAGCTGCCATATACCGCATAGATTGTGAATCTCCGACTTGCCCTATTTTCTTTATGTTTTTCTTTACTAAACAAGGTGCAAGTTGTTCAGGGCTAAGGTATTTAGGCATCATGCAATCTTTTGGCCACCATTTATCATTCACCCATTTCCCACCTCCAAAAAAGCGTCCGGTTTTCACGAAGTAGTTCCGTAAAAAGTCCAGAGAACATACACGTGCCTGATATTTTTTAAACTGAGGCACAGTAACGTTCATTCCTTTTCTATTCAGTTGCGGCGTTGATCCATTAAAGTATATGAGGTCCAACATAACAACAAGCAAAACAATACAAATCCCGCCCAGAAACCGTATGGACTGCTGATATCCTACTGCAGACATGCTGTAACAACAAATAAATAAATAAATTTACCAGTTTAAATACAATGATGTTCAGGAATAAATACATAATTACAGTTAGTTTTTATTTCATATTTAAGAGAAAGTTGATCTTTCATGGCACAGAATCGTCTACCTATCTCTGAGATCTTGTAGCCAATGGATTAGTTTGAATTATCTGGTATTAGTCATGTTAAAACTACAATCTTAAATTTTTTCCCGTGATATTAAAAGAATTTAGCCTAAACAATATGAATAATATAATCGGGTCCTGCAAAGTTATCTTGTTTGCATACCCTATGATTGTGTCCGAACAATAATTCAATAATACCGTTCTGAAAGAAATTGATCTCTGTAGTACATGTAATATTTCTGTAGAAATTGAACCTTTTATAATTTCATCACAATAAATTTGTATTTACCTGAACGCCCTCTTCGACTGCAAAATGTCTACCGTCAGGTGTGTGTTAAATATATTAGCGTCATCCTACCTGAAGAGAGATAAACACATTTGCGCTGCATATACGGGTAAATTTGTGTTAATAGTAGAGAGCTAATGCCCAAACACCCTGCCTTCATGATATTACACAGTTATTCTGCTTATATGAAATTCCACAGTAAATCCAATCATATCACAACCCTACAGTGTAAAAACAGTGTTTAGCTCTGAGACACATTTCTAAGCGCCTGTTTTGTCTCATTTTTTCCACGCGTTTAGCACCTAAGCACGTTTAGCCTATTAACATGTTACACGCTTTGACGTGCTTGACGCCTAATAAATGTAGTGTGTATTTGTTTAACTTTAAGGTTGTAACGTTTTCAACTGTTACAGTCACTCTCACACACACACACACGCGCGCGCGCGCGCGAGCGCGCGAAGACACGGTCACCTTTAAGTGCTATAGATATCTCTATCTATAACAGGGTACCGTGAACTGTCAACATAGTTGATTCACAACATCATCTTTACAGCGGGACTTATTCATCCTTGTGTTAGCTGACCTTGCGACGAAGTTAATTGGAATATATTTCTGAAAAACAAGTTAGAAAATTCACTAGTTTACTAAAGACACGAAACAACTATTACTTTTACTTTAAAACATTTTTTTCATATTTTGATAAAATGCGTTAAGGTATTGATGTTCATTTATTTTTTCCGGAAGTAATGAACAATAGAACATCAGGATGATGGTGGGGTATTCATTATAATGGTTTATTTAATCTTTCATCACATGCTGGTTATTTTGGTAACGATAGTCCGAATATTTTTCAAATCGCACCGCTCTAGTCGCCGACTAACCCAAGCCCATTTTGGAATTAACCGCTAACTGTAGTCCATACAGCATAAGACGTGTTTTGGTGATTAATAAAAAAAGTTTTCAAAACATTAAATAATGTTTTTCCAGAATGTTATAAAACGCTTATAAAACTGCAAGGGCATCATTTTGCATGGAGTTAAAAACACCCATAACGTTACCATGACGTTATTCTATACCATCACCATCATGTAACCAGCTAATAACGTCGTGAAAACGTTATTTGTTATTTGGATTATAACTTAATAGGCCTATTTTAAATAATCACACGTTACTGCAAGGAAGGACACAACGCGTTCGAGCAGGCTGCTTCTCGCCTCCAACAACCCCATATGTTTACAAGGGGAAGTGTTAAGCAAAATTGTTGAGTCTTGTAATAAACTTGTTATGGGATCGTATATATGGGATTGTGAAGCATTTTTTTTCTGTGACGAGCTTGAAAAGCTAAACAGCCCAGTGTGAGGACAATAATTGCTGCTGAGATTCATTTCTGCTGACACCTCTACCGTATAACACCAGACTTTGTATTCAATTTTAAGTATCCAGAAGTGTGTTCCTCCCCGGGTTTCCCCAGAATTAAAAAAAATAAATAAATAAAAGATTACCTATGTACATGTAGTTGTTGTTCACACTACATTCTGGAACGACGGATCAATACTTTTTTGCATTCAAATTATTTCCATTCTTTCGTTGACTTTGTATACATACCTACTTGACGATGTAGTTTCATGTTGGTCCGCCATATTTAGGCCGTGGACCAGTAAACACTCGGATCTTCTCATGGCCCCTTAATAACGTGAAAATATTATACAAAAGGATTTTAATTTTTAAAACTTTTGTTACTAAAACCTCCGTTACTGAATTCGAAAACTCTCCATATCAGCAACCCATGAGTCGGGAAAAGTATGCATGATTATGATTAAAACAAAAAGCTAGATTTATCTTTCTGTCACCAAAGCTTTAGCAAAAAGTAGAATTGGTGAATATATATCTTTAGCTTAATTCACTTTACTGTTTTCTTCAAATGAACCTATATATATATATATATATAGGGCTATATTGAGAATCAGTGTTTTCAATCACACACTCACACATACAAAAAATAAATAAATAAATAAATAAATAAATAATTTTTAAAACATAAAATTGATGTCAATCGAATATTCGTTTCTTTTCAACAGACTTGTCACAAAGTGTACAGAAAGATGCGGAATATTATATGTAAATGAACGACCGCATTAATTTTCCTTTGCAGGGGATTGCATGGCAACCTTGCTTGAAAAGGTCTGGTTTACAAACTCTGAAATGGTTTGAAATGTATCCCATGAAGTGGTAATATACCAAGAAGTATCTTAACACACGTGCGTCACGTTTAGATTTTGACACAATTTATCGCAAATCTCGGCTCATTGTCACTGTTTTTATAAGGCTGCAATCGTGGCAAATGTTAATGGTCTGACACAGTTTCACGTAAACTGGGAGGGGGGGGGTGTGAAACCAACGCCCATTCCCTCTATGAAACCTCCTTTGGCATATATTGCCATGCTATATCCAAGGTTTAATATGAACGTAGTACAAAAGCTGACATATTAGTGCTGGAAAACACAGCTTGGCATAGCCTTCCAATATTCTTCAAGAAATGTTGAAATTGATCAATACTACTTGCCTGTTACACTTGATATTTTAATATGCAAAAATATCTTAATGTCTGCCAATATAGCGCACGCTCCATTTTTAATCCTGATTGAGATTTTTTTTCTAATTATTCACCAACGAGTGTTACATTAGACGTGCTAAATTGAGGTCTTGCTACAGACAGGTTTTAACCTTAGCTCTTTTTTTAAATATAATCTTTCAAACATGTCTGAAGACAATACCATGGTTTTATCACCCAGGCCAACAGTAATATATTTGAATTTTAAAAATATGGCATTTGGAATATCATTATTGATACTGTTTTAAGACACACACTTTTTCACTTACGATTGCGGCCATTTTAATTTCTCAACCTGGTGGTCAGTAGATGGTAAGGTGTCTTGAGCTTACTTGTTCTCGTTTTCCAATTGTGATCTCATAATATAAAATCTAATACACTGTATATACATTTCTGTTTTATTGCCCACTTACATATACCGGGTTACGGGTACATCTTTTATTCAGTAAAACGTGTAACCCGAATATCCTTTCACCATTATGCTGGCTCGCAGTGCTTAACGTGTTAGGTAATACCAGGAGGCTGGTCAGAGTTCACTGGCTAGTCAATAATGCAATTGTCCATTCATTGACTTGTATATTCGGACATCTTACATTGAAATTGCACGTATAGTTGACACACGTCAAGCCGATTTGGTAAAGTATTACAGTAGAATCAGCATCGCCAACAGAAAGACTCACTTATTATCAGTGTTCATCGCGAGTCTCATTAACAGAAGACCTATACGGCTCTCCTGCCCTTATTTATAATTATGTACACACTTATTGATTTTTCTTGTAATGGACAAAGGTATCGGTACAATATCACGATAAGAGCTTTGGTAATTTGAAACTGAATGCAGGAGATACGAAAACCCGCACTGTTTAATGTGGTGCCAACGTCACAACTATATGGGCCTTGGTATTCACGTTTGTTAATATCTATGCAAAGGCAGAAATAGGTGTCATCGTAATTTACGGAGATTTCAGTGTTATGGTTGTCAAGTTAAAGCATTGCATAACAAAAAATGGAAGGACGATTTCTTAGCAACAACTAACCTAGTAATAACCTACTGAAAAAATGTTGTACAGTTACTGTTTAAAAGGTCGGACTAGGTCGTTTATAACGTTGATAAATGTATTGAATGATGTAAATAGGGTAATGATAATTTGCAGGGTGGGAAATATGGGATTCACTGGTACAGATAGAATAATGAATGTTATTAAACCAATATATAAAAAGCTGGCTCACAGTGGGATTACGTCTGAAAAAAGGCTACCATTTTTAATGGAAAATTAAAGTGGAAAAGTGGAAAAGTAAAAGTATCTTATGTTGCTGCAAAAGTCGATGGCATGAAGGCATCAATATTCTTAGAGATAAGATAAAGAAAAAATAATTGATTTAAATATAAGTGAAAACGTAAAGTTTCCACATAAATAAAGCTGGTGACTTACCAATGATTTAAGAAAGTGAACATGAATTGCAAAATATGCCAATGTAAATATTTTAGGGGACGACGTGCTAACAACAGGCCACAGGGATAAATAAATTAAAATATAGGGAAGTTGACGTGATACACTTTAGACCGAAATCACTATAACTTTCGGAGTATGTACTGCTATTTCAGTGTTAAAACCAGTACAAGAGTACACATATCAAGCCCTGGTGCCCAGTGTGTGTATCCCAGTCTAGGTCGACGCTAGACATTCAGATTATGAAGTAATGGCAAAAGCTGTTGCGAAATAAGCCACCAGAACTCTAGACCTTCTACCAGTCGAATGCACAGCTGACGGTGGTTTTAATTGCAGGTGTTTTGACCAACAGTAATCGATTTTGACCAACTGTCATCGATTATGTGCGCGACCACCTGAAATATGAAAGAATACTTGCGCACAGGCATAAATACAAAAGGAGCTTTAGGACCGTATTTACCAAAAAAAGAAATTACTTGTAAATTCCCCTTACCTTTGTCTAATCTTCCCTTTGTCCTCTTCCCATCTCTGAAATTATACGTGTGCGATCTCTTCATTAATGTGAAGTACAAATTAACAACTATGTAATCCAAAATTTTCCGATTTTTAGCGGACTCCTATTTAAGATAGTCACGTTACTTTCTTGGCCCAACTTCTGCCTGCAGAGTCAATATTGACTGCCACAGAGTTAATAAAAAGAGAGAGAGAGAGCTCTCTTTTCATTGGCTCTAGGAAAGCCTATGGACATTTATCGATATTCTTTTTGAATACTTTAACCGATTTAGATTTTTTTTTTTTTTTTGCTTTATAGTAGACTTGTATGGCAGTTAATGTGTTTTTTAGTTTATGCACCCAGGTTTAAAATCAAATATAAATATTACAATTGTTTTCTAACCAATCAAGTGACAGCTGAGAGTGTATATTT